GGTGTGGTTAATAACACACATGGTGGTGAACTGAGGTAGATGGTAGAAGTTTGAGGGGTGTGCATTTTGAATCTTCCCACGTGGCTCATTTCAGCCAGTTTTCTGTGTTCATCTGGTATTTCTTACAGATAAAAATCATGAAAAGTGAATGCAAAATTTCAATATGTTCAAATTGTTTCTTAGTATATCGGTGGCTTTGGAATGCTTTTGCATTCTCAAAACAAGCTTTATAGCAGAACTGAGGATATTTAATTCAGGTTCTGTGGGGGTTTCTTAGTAGTTAGCCACTTGCATGATACCCGTTGAGAATGGGACAAATTGATACTGTGCTCAGGAATGATAGTATGCCTTGCTTTATTTTGGCATGTATAAAATTGAGACCAGAACACCAGATTTTTCTTCTTTAGAAGTATGTATTTAATAACCGAGTAAACTATATTCATTGTAGAGAAACAATACACAAATGTTTTAAAAAATAAAGCTATAATCCCAGGAATAACCACTTTTTAAAAAGCTTGACATATATCCTTCTAGATTATTTTCAAGTATGAATGTTAGCATTTGGAGTTACAATTTGTTTTGACTGCTTTTTAGATTTGTGCCCTAATTTTTGACACTTGCTCATTATAAATTATTTTTAGTTGTTTTCAAAGCAATATTTATGATATAAAAAGATCTAATTATTTGCTTTGAACTCCTTTTTGGTGTGTACCTGGCTGTTAATACTTAAAATTGTTTTTTAAATCTCAGAATGAATTCAGAATTATAAGCTTAGTATTCTCGGTTGCATTCCATTTTGGAAGACCTATACAGAGCTGTCCACCCTCCTATACCCACTAATATCCTATCCTGCCCTTGCCATGTGACGTATTAAAGCCACAAGGGAAAAGAGCCCCATGAAACTCCGTCTCCCTCGCTTCTCCCCAGCACAACACACACGTACACACTTAGGCATGTTTGTCTTTCCTTGTCTCTGCTCTTTCCTTGTGTCTGTACTTGTCTGTCAGTCGGCCTGTCTCTCCCTTGCTGGAGCCATTCATCATGCCCTCCTCATTCAGGGACAGAGTGTGCTCTCTCTGGGCTGGTGCCAGATCCTGGAGAGAGGAGCGCTTTGAAAACTCAACTTGGCCTCCTCAGCAGACCACATTGCAGTTGTTCTCAGCATTCTGGCCACCACTTTGTCCACTTAATGTAGGGTCCCTAACCCCACCTATAATTTGCCCACTTCTCTTCTGTTCTGGGAACAAATACTTTTTTAAAGCTAGATGCCCAGCTTAAAATCTTATGAAAAATAAGAACTCACAGTGGAAGGATAAGGGGAGTCCAACTCAACTATAATTAAATTTGGTTTTTCCTTCTTGCTTTCTTGTCGGGGGAAAGCCAGATGCTGTCCTTTTCACAGAATAAGTTACCAGTCCATGATGTTAAGGAACAGCTTAACCAGTAGCATGACAAGAATTTGAGCTGACACTTTTCAGCCAGAATCTCAGTTACTTACACACACTACACACACACAATCTGTTTTAAATTTTAGTGAATGAAAAATTCACATGATAGATTGTCATTCTTAGTTTTTAAATAGTTTTTATTGTTACTGAAGTAGAAAATAGAATTTTTTTGAAATATTATCGATACATCAGTAGACTTTTGATGTTAGGAAGCCTGGAACCTTGATTTTCTAGTGCTGAATCCCATATTAAGAGTTAATAGATAAGAAGATTTTAACCAAAGAAAACAGGGGGAGGGTGGACAATGATGGGAATAGAAAATTGAAAGGACGAGCTTAAAGTTACAGTTAGTTCTGCTATACCACCACATGCATTCCTAAAAAATTACTGCACAATGCAACATTACGCAACAAAAACCACATGAGGCTTATTGGGAAAACGGGGTAATGGCACAACATTCAAAGACCTCATCAGTGACACACACAGAAAAACATCGGAACCTAAAAGGGTAGCACAGTCTTACAAATGTTAAATGCTCAAAAAAAAAAATACATAAATACTAGAATAAACATGGCAGTTACCTTGAAAAGACCTGGCATTTGCTTGTGGAAGGCGTGAGAAGGGTTGCGGCTTGGCTGTGAAGTGATGGAAGGAGGTTATCTGAAATTGGATGACAAATTGTAGCATCAGATGTGTTTGGGTGTGGTTAATAACACCCATGGTGGTGAACGAGGTAGATGGTGGAAGTTTGAGGGAGTGTGCATTTTGTGTTTTCCCATGTGGCTCATTTCAGCCAGGTATAGTTTTCTGTGTTCACCTGGTATTTCTTTCAGACAAAAATCATGAAAAAGTGAATGCAAAATTTCAATATGTTCAAATTGTTTCTTACTATATCGGTGGCTTTGGAATACATTTGCATTCTCAAAACAGGCTTCATATCGGAACTGAGGGTATTTAATTTGATTGAGAATTTTATCTAATCATTTGATCTTCAAAGAAAATACATCACACATTTGCTCTGAGACACCTGCTTGAGAATTCTGATACCTAGAGTGTACTTCTTGAAAGTTAAAGTTCTAGTTGAGGGTTTTCTCTGTCTTCTTCATATCACAGACATGCCCATCCTTTAGTGCAGTTTCATGGGGTACACAAGGTGATTTTTGTAGATAAACATGGATGAATATTTTAATGTTTAGTTTATATAATAAGCTTATTGAACTTACTGTTTCACAGATACTATTGTTTTGGAAAAATCTATCTCAGCTGAGGTTAGAGGTGCCCTGCTTCACCCTGGGGCCCATCTGGAAATGGATTGGGAGGTGGTTTCAGGTTGTCTTTGGCAGATGGGCATTACTGGTGAAGAAGCAGTAGGAGACTAGGAATGCCAACCATTCTGAAATCCTGTATGAAGAACTGTCCTGTCCAGAATACCAGTGATGTCCCCATGAGAGGTTGGTTAGTATTAGAGTAAAGAGGAGGAGGAGGAGGAGATAATAGAATTGATAATGTAAATTAAAATGTTGAGTTTAAAAAAGTAGTATTTTATGTAGCTTTGGTAAGAACGATGACAATAGTTTGCAATTGATGAAAATTTGGAAAACACTAATTGAGGACAAGTAGTAGTGGTGAGCTTCATTTGACAAACCCTTTAGTGCCTTGTAGCAGACAGTATTCTCAGTGCCATGCACATGCTAACTTACTCAGCTGTGGTTAATGGTTCTTGAGGCATTAGCCTAGTCTACTGTAGTGTCTCAACCGTGGCTGCACAGTAGAATCAGACAGGGAAACTTGTCAAAACTCTGGATGCCTAGTCCACACCCCAAACCAATTAAATCACAGTCTCTGAGGGAGGGACCTATGCATCAGTGTTTCTAAAGCTCTTTATGTTATTCCAGTGGGTAGCCAAGTTGACAGCCACTGGTCTAGGGCCTTCTAAAAATCACTCCTTTTCACAAGAAAAGCTTTACTAGTCATGCAGAAGTTAATTGAAGACCTCTGTCCCATGCCTTACAGAGAAAGACGATGGAGACATGGCCCACAGAAGCTGTATCGTCTAAGGCAGGTGACAAATGCAAACACATGTTTACAATCCTGGCTGACAAGTGCTGATGCTTAAAAGTATGTTCAGAGTGTTTTGGGATCATAAAAGAGAGAAAAACTAAATTTAAAAAAATCTTCAGATGCCAAATTTGGAAAACTGTTAAACTGAATTTATTTTAGTTTTTTCTTCCTTATACACAACTTTCATTTTGGAATGAACAAAAAGCAAAAGGCACTTATAAATCACTATTAATTTAACCTTCCTAACTTGATTGTAGCCTTTGTGTAGTTGAGTTGGAGAATAGAAATTTGAATTTTGTCTGTAGATAGCTAGGATAATAATTTTGTCCTGGTGTGGAACACACTCTTAAGTACTTTATAAGCCATCATTGAAGTAATGCCCTTCCAGAAATAAGTCACCACAGTTTTACCAAGAAACTCAGGACTGCTATAAGAAGATCTTTGGAAATAAACCATTGAAGTCTTACTTGTGGTCACTGATTATCATGTGCCTAATGTTTTAAATACGCATATAACTCCTGTATTGTGGTAAGTCAATGTTGGATCACATGCATTTTAAAACTTAGAGTTAAGCAAATGCGTAATTTTAAATTAATTAATTAAAGGCAGCCACTAAGGTACTTGAGCGGATAAAGTTACCAAATAATTTATTTGTTTCTGATGGTAACATTCTTCAACAGCTCTTGATTTATGTTAGTATGGATTACCTTACTCTAAGAAAACCTGATTCTCCAGTGGATAGATTTATTTTCAGCTAAACCTTTGTAGTCTATACTTAACCATGAATTACTTCCTGGTTTAAAAAACAGGCGTAGCTATTTGTGGTATTTTTGTCTTGCGCCTTTGGCATCTTAGTGGTGTGAACCGGAGCTATGCCATCTGTAGTCAAGTGAGATTATTAAAAAAAGGGGGGTGGGAAGTGAAATGATTCACTGGAAAATTTCAGCACAGATTCTTAGGGAACGATAAGATAACCCTAGAAACATTCTTATTTGTGTCATATGCTGGTGGGTAGTGACAGGGAAAAAAAAGAAGGTACAACTTGTTTCTTAAGATTTTGCTATTTTGAAAGTCAGAGAGGTGCTATGTTAGAAAGGAAGAAAGAATTGCTTGCAGTGTCAATTAGCAGAACTCTGCAGATGAATGAATAATTTTCCTCTCTGTCAGTGCAAGTTGGAGCCAATGAGGTTCATTGCTAGCATGCAAAACCCAAAAGGCAATATTCTCATGTTTACGATGGTTGTTTAATTTCCTGATGTGATAAAACGCTTTATGCTGAGATACTTCAGAAACAGAAGGACCCGTTCCTAGAATGTTAAGTAAGTCTGTGGGGCTTAGATGAGCCATTTCTGAAGGCTGCTGAGTGTAACATATCTTCACTTAATGATACGTGTTTTAACCTGAATATATTGATTTCAGGGAATTCTTCCAGAATTACATTCGAGGTTTGCCTGAAACATGGTATCTTTTTTTCTTCATTTTCCTTTTCAGAAAGAAGACATAGCTCATCCAGCAAGCCTTCTTTGGCCGTTCCTCCCACTTCAGTATTTTCCTTCTTCCCTTCTCTGTCCAAAAGCAAAGGAGGCAGTGCAAGTGGAAGCAACCGTTCTTCCAGTGGAGGTGTTCTTAGCGCATCCTCATCAAGTTCCAAGTTGTTGAAATCACCCAAAGAGAAACTGCAGCTCAGGGGGAACACCAGGCCAATGCATCCCATTCAGCAAAGTAGAGTCCCCCATGGTAGAATGTGAGTATGGCCAAGAGGGTTTTTAAAGCTTACCTGCTGGAAATAGAGCTGTGTACACCAGTGGCATCCGAGAGTGCCTGTGAATAATATAGAAGAGAGCCCACTTGGGGAAGAATTCAAATGTATGTTATATTGTTTCTTGATGTTTCCCTATCATGTCATAGGAAACTTTTCAGAGTAGTAATAGCAATGATAATAAGGTTACTAATATTTATTGATCCATTCTTGTGTGCTAGCTGCTGAAACCTAACTGTGTGTATACTATGTCACTTATCACAACAACCCTATGGAATAGGTACTGTTACTATCCTCGTTTTCCAGATGAGGAGAAGGAAGCTTCATGAGGTGGGGGAGTTTTGTCCAAGAAGACCTCAAGTCACATAGGCCTGGATTTATGTCCCACGTCTGTCACTTCTTAGCTGTAGGGGTTTGGGCAAGGCACCGTTTCTCTCTGAGTCTAAGAATAACAGCCACTGTGCTGGGTTATTGAGAATATTCTAGTTAATATATGTCTAGCACCTGGCATAGTCTCTGGCCATAGGAGACAGTTAACAAATGGATACTGGCACTCCTGCTACTGCTGCTGTTGGTAACAGTAATGATAAAAAGATGCAGAGATTCCTAGATGCCGCTGTAGAATTTTCTGGAATCTGCAGAGCAAATAGGGAAGCAGTGCTTCCTCCCTTCAGCCTTAGGTTCACATCACAGCAGTGATGAGGGAAGACTGAAGGAAGTTCACACCTTCCAGGCATGTCTTTGGCAAGTTTCTATGGTCACTCAGTAGATTGGCAGGCTTCTTGAGGTCACGTGAGGGAACAGCCATGCACTCCAATAGAAACATACTTCGCATTGTTGGGGTATCCCTCAGCCAAGTGGCGGATGGCTTTTCTCAGGCAAACCTGCCTTTGGAGGGTATAGCACACATCGTAGGTCCAAGATCTGGTAACCTGGTTAATCTCAGGGCAGGGTCCAGCACCTGCTGCTGCCTAAGGACCTTGCCAGCTGGGAGAGGATGTGACATCTTGCAGTCTCTCTACTGCTCTCAGGCTATTCCAGGTACAGCTGTTTGGGTCTGTTTGTCTTGGTTGCTAAGCCCCCAGCCCCTGTTCTTCTGTCAGAAGTACAGTACAGCAAGCTTGGTTTTTGTTCCGGGAGCTGTCCGAAAGCCAAAAAAGGTACCAGTGGTAGTGTATAAGTCACTGGCTAGCTTAACAGCTGTTAGAGCACTGACTCCACTGAACAAAGTTTATACAACCACATTGATTCAAATCTTCTTTACTTAGAGCTAGGCCTTTAGATAGGAACCAGGCCAGTTGTTAGCTTCCTACCAGTATTTTCAGTTTTACTAAGCAAAATAATAGTGTCAGTAAGATTCCAAGATTCATTCCTTTGTTAGTGGCACAGGTATTCCCTAAGCTCCTGTCATAGAAACATTTTTCAAGGACTGGAGAATTACCACTTTAATGACACAACATATATTTATTAAACACTAGTCTCCCTTTTTGACAGAAGCAAAGAACCTCCTCTTGGAGATATGTTATTAAGCATGTTTGAGTTATCATAAGTCTTTAGTGACATTTATTGGGAATATTTGCTCACTCAGAAGTTTACTTTGTTTTGATGAATCCTTTATTACAAATGGCAGTCCTCAAAAGATAGTCTCTAAGGGTTCTGCAGATAGTCTTTGGTTCTTTTAGACCTTCTCATGTTTTGCTTCTTATAAAAATTGCATTGCATTGGGTATCAGGTCTAAGTCTCCCATTGGCTCCTGCGTAAAATTTTTTGAAATGATAAAAGACCAGGCAAATCTGAAGGGCCACTGAGGGTTTTGCCTCACCAGAAGGGCTTATAGGCTTAATATATATGAACCTTACTAACAGAATTCATAAGGAGCCTTCCAAGAGGCTGGCCCTGTGCAGCGCTTGGGTAGGCCCAGGCTCTACCCTCATCCCTCTGGCTCACCATTCACCTGGGGGCTGCTGAGGCACTCAGTCACTGGTTTTCTCACTTTGTCCTATGACAGCATGACGCCCTCTGTGAAAGTGGAAAAGATTCATCCGAAAATGGATGGCACACTACTGAAATCTGCGGTGGGGCCAACCTGTCCTGCTACTGTGAGTTCCTTAGTCAAGCCTGGCCTTAACTGCCCCTCAATACCAAAGCCAACCTTGCCTTCACCTGGACAGATTCTGAATGGCAAAGGGCTTCCTGCACCGCTCTCTCTGGAAAAGAAACCTGAAGACAATTCCAATAATAGGAAATTTTTAAATAAGAGATTATCAGGTAACTTCAAATTTTCTTTCTTCATAATGCTTCTCTATATAGAGAGAGCATTAAATGGGCATTCATGGGGAGCAAATCACCTGCAATCTAGAATTCCTATTTTTAAAACTGGTCACCTTCAGCTTTAGGAGGAAGTTCCTTAGTTAATGTGTTTGTTCTCTTCACTCTTGGTTTTTAAAAAGCATGAGAGTGTATGTGTGTAGGTCATGTAAAAGTAGCTTTCTAGTGGTGTATTTCTGAAGGAAGTAATACAGACTTAATATCTTTTCTGTCATCTGATGGCAGTAGTCACCCCGTCTTAGTGATGTTGCTGCTTTGTTGCGGTGCTCACACACGGTGCTCACACATTGTATATATTTTTATTTATTGATAATGTGGATTTTATTCCAGCTATAATTTGTCTAACTGTTGATTTCTTCTATTACTTACAAAATACATGGAGGAGAGTTTGTCAGGCCACATGTAATGCCTGTGTTCTTTTGACAGAAAGAGAGTTTGATCCTGACATCCACTGTGGGGTTATTGATCTCGATACCAAGAAACCCTGCACCCGGTCTTTGACATGCAAGGTGGGTAGACTTCTGAAAGTCAAGCCGACTATCCTGATAAACGTGGGTGACCAGGATGTACCACACTGCTCGCAAAGTCTCTCTGACCCAGAGAGGATGCTCTGTGGATTGTTCTGAATTGTGTAGGTGAAGGAATAACTTGGAAGAAAGCCTCAGATTGACAAAATGTGAAGTGTGTTGTTATAAATTACAATCTTGACAGAGGTTTTGTTTCTAATGAGCAGTGTTGTATCCACAGGAATAGTGTTCTTTCCAAGTCAGTCTGTTATTTTTAAAGACTTTTAATATTTCCATATGGAAATGTAATATGAGAGGCTACCCTTGACTGTGCTGTAAATTATACTGACTTAAAGCAAGTCCAGAAATTTCCTTTGCATGTGTATGAACATTTAACAAATGTGTCACCCGTGGTTCTTAAATTTTAAAAAACCACTTTTTAAAAAAATCTGTGACTTTGAGATAGCCCTGTTTTCTCGTTTAAAAAAAAAGTACTGCAAGCCAGGCGTGCCTGTAAGTCCCAGCTAGTGGGGAGGCTGAGGCAGAAGGGTTGCTTGAGCCTAGGAGTTCGAGTCCAGCCTGGACAACATTACGAGACCCATCTGTTTTAAGAGAAAAAACTAGATAAAATATATAAATAATTTATACACAAGCTAAGAAAATGTAATGGTCTTCCTTTTTGCTCTGGGGTCTTCCTTATTTCCTTTAAAATGCCAGTATGTTAATAAGGTATATTTGCTGAAAAGTAAGGGTTATTGATGTGGGGGGTGGCTTCAGGTCATCAGTGAACACCTCTGCATAAATGAGCTTATGTGTTGATGTGCATTTCTCTGGAGGGTGTCCCCAGCTACCCCCCAGAAAGGTTCAAGAAGCATTCAGAGTCACTGCTTTGAAGTATGTAATTTTAAAACCTTAGACGGAGGGAGTAAAAATGATTAAAGTTAGCATTTTCTTCTAAAAATTAATAAAATGGTTAGTGTTTTATTTTAGATTTTATTAAAGTGTATTTGAATAAAGGACTTCAGGCCCTGCCCCAGGCCCCAACCAGTGGAGGCATGTTACAGTCTTCTGGAGTGGGAAATTTTTAAATGGTTCTTACTTTAATTTAAGCTTCTAATTTAATTTTAGTGTATAGATTTTGTCTTACAGCAGTGGTTCAGAACCTTTTTGGGGAGAAGGGTTGGTCAAGAGTGCCTTCAAATATCTCATTTTTTTTTTTTAAAAAAAAAGCACGGTCCATCTTTCCCAAATAAAATAGTGCATATACATATACATTCTGAATTTTTATCTTGGATTAATGGATATCCCCACCCCAAGCCCATCCTTGGATTTCTAGGTTAAAAACTCTCTTAAAACAAACTGCTTTTGTTTTGTATAGGGTACTAATTGGACACAGAGTCGTGTAGTCGGGGTGGTGTATGAAGATAGCCATCTGAGCTCTGTAGAATTATGTCAGTTTCAGCTGCCCCTGAGAGAATGTGTGAAAGCATGCCTCAACCCTGTCCACATCATGATCACAACTTGCCATTCTCCTTTTGCCTTCTTCCTGCCTCCCTGGCTCTCAGTAACATGGATTTCTCAGTAATATAGTACCTGTGGGCAATGAGGTTTGCTTTTCTTAAACCCAAGATGTTCTTTTTCAGTCGTTCACAAAGCGTGGCAGGGAACCACACCTTTTTTCTTTCTTTTAAATTTTGTTGTGATGAGAACACTTAACTTGAGATCTCCTCTTGTAACAACTTTTCAAGCGTGCAAGACAGTATTGTTGACTGTGATAGAATATTGTACAGCAGATGTCTAGAACTTGTTCATCTTGCTATAACTGAAACTTTATGCTCATTGATTAGTAATTCCCTATTTCCCTCTCCCTTCAGCTGCTGGCAGCCACCACTCTAGTCTTTGAGTCTGTGAGTTTGATTTTAGAGCTCATATAAGTGGAATCATGCAGTGTTTAATATTTCTGTGACTGGGTTATTTATCTTAGTATAATGTCCTCAAGGTTCATACTTGTTGTAGCATATAGCAGAATTTCCTTCTTTTTAAGGGCTGAATAATATTCCAGTGTATGTATATACTACGTTGCCTTCATCCAGTCACCTGTTGACAGACATTTATATTTTTTCTACATCTTGTCTATTGTAACTAGTACTTTAGTGAAAATAGGAGTTCTAATAGCTCTTTGAAATTCTGATTTCAGTTATTTTGGATAAATACCCAGAAGTGAGGTTGCCAAACTTTTTTTTTTTTTTTTGACTCAAAATCTTCAAGGAGCTTGACAAACATTTCTTCCAGTGCCTTTATTGCTAGGTGGACTGACTTTGAATGGGTCTGCATTTTTCTCCCATCTTCCTTTTCAAATGATATGTGCTCCCCTTCTCCTTCTTTAAGGGTGTCATTACACTCTTTGGCATTGGGCTAAGCCTGTTATTGCATTAATATGTCTTCAGACCCAGCTCGTCATGAGATCAGCATAGAACTAGCAGAAAATGCAGCATCTACCAGGCCTGCCCTTTTACAGGATGCGTTGACTTTTTTTCATTGTTTAGTCAGTTCTTTTCCTTTTCCTTGCCTTCACTTTGGTCAGAATCTATTAAGCTCGGTAGGGCTAAACATGCCTGCATGTCCCTACCCTGAGTGTTTCCCAAGTTGCTGCCAGGTGTCTTCTGTCTTAGACTTCGAACGTTATCTGTTCTCTTCACCATCAGGGGATTTGCTGCTCTTCGTTCCCATTACTTATTCTCTGTTGTCCGTCTGCCACCCTTACTGCCCCTCCTCACTTCTTCATCTGTCTAATATCCCGTCGAATTTCCTCTTTGCCTTCCATGCAGAGAGATTTGTGACTCCTGTAGCCTTTGTCCATTCACTTATTGTAGAACTTTTTATTACATACATCTGTGAACACCGACCTCACCCATTCTAGGTCCCAGGGAATAAAGGGTTTAGCACAATAACCACATGTTCCCTATACTTGTGGCGCTTACAGTCTGATGAAAGAGATGGAGATTATTGATCACCAAAATAAGTGTAAAATTACCACTGATTAGTTATAAAAAGATGAGAGGACTACATTATGAAAGCCTGCAAAAATGAAGTTTGGCCAGGGAAGGCTTTCTTGCCGTAGGAACATTGGGCTGAAATCAATATGATGATTTATCTGGGCAGAGAGGGATGGGAGAGGTAGGAGGGGTGGAGGAAACAATATGTGTGAAGGCTCTGTGACAGGGACAGAGCAAATTTCTTAGAACCTTAAAGCCAACCAGATGGCTGAACAGAAAGAGGGAGGAAGAGGTACGCAGGACCAAAGGAGCAGGGATCAGTAAGCAAGGGTCTTAAGAGTGTGCAGGGCCCCAGAGCCTAGTTACACAGTCAGTCTTTATCCTGTGAGCCTTGGGCAACCCCTATCAGATTTCTGTTTGGAATGTTCTTCACAGCCCAGTGGAAACCCTACTTACTCTTCAAACTGAGCTGGGAAAATGTATCTGCCTGCTTTCTTCATTTGGCTGTACTGTGCTAGGCACTGGGGACATTCAGGCTGAGGAGAGGTTTATACATCTGATTGGAGAGACAGGCAGGTGGACCAGTAATGTTGTATGTTCATTTGTTCTTTCAACACATGTTGGAGGGCCATTATTTTTATAAACTTTTTGTTCAAAGCATTTGAGTGCCAGGTATTCTTCTAGATGCTGGTACAACACAAACAAAACAAAGTTCCTTGTCTTCATTTAGGTTACTTTCTTATGGATATTTTTCATATTAAAGAAAATCAAGTAAAAATGTAAAAAGCTAAACACATTTATCTGTGCCAGGTTAGATTATTTAGGTAGACATAGTTTGCGGTGTGTCTCGTAAGGAGGTAGGTTGTGTTATTCAACTGAAAATGGTAGTTAGAAGCATAATTCCCTTTTTAAGTCCCTAAAGTTGTAGCAAATATGCCAATACATTTGTATTATGTATAGGGGTATGCACACATTTACAGTATTTTGTAATATAAAAGAAGGAAACGTAGGTAAATTTGTGTATGTTTATGGATATATGATTGGGGCCACTGTAGCTTATGTAAACTCGTCCATTCCTCAGGATTAGCATCTCCTTGCATTTTTACAGACTGAGATCTCAGCAGTATGGAATGGTCAGGTTTAACTTGAGTAATTGGACTTGACTGCCGATAAGATTTGCCCAACTCTGACCAGTTTACACTGGTACATTCTACTGTATCTTCTGTTAGCAATAGTATTAGGCTTATTTGTTTTGTTTTGTTTTAATGCCAGTAACTATGAAATGTGTTTGGACTACAAGGCACATTTTCTTACAAGATTTGCTTCAATCACAGGTTTGTATTGGTTACCTTAAGACAAACACTGCCATAATTTGACTTTTCTTTTTCCTCTGTGTGCCCATTTCTTAATTTTGAAATTAGACATTGTCTGAAGACCCAGGGGTATTGTCCATCCCATTTCCTTGATTTCCATAGCCAGTGTCTGTCTATAGGGATTACTTTGTCTCCCTTCCTGTTCATAGCATTTTTTCTCAGCCTCATCTGTCCAGTGCTTCTTGGCTGTGGCAGTCTGTCTGCAGAATGCTTGGGGCCACTTTACGTTTTTACATGGCATTTTCATTGGAAAAGAGAGATGGAATTGCGTTGAATTTTTATTCTCTGGAAGTTACTAAAAGAACATTTTCTGATACATGTTTTATGGAATAATTGTTTCTTCCCTTTAACATTCAAAATTTTAAATGGTTCAAAGAGGGTTTTTCTAATGGAGTTGATAAGAGCCCCCAAATCCAAATTGCTATTGTGTCACAAAACGTGAGTACTTGTCATATGGCACTAATGGTTGCACTTAGTTACATACCAGGTGTCACCGCTCACATTTCTTCTTTCTTCTGATGGAAATAAGATTTCCAGATTCTTCTGCATTTAGAGCCTAGAATGTATGCTTCTAGTCTAGCTAGGGAGAAAATATTGGGCTCTTAAGGTTTTTAGCTTATCAAATGCTGAGTACCCTTTCACTATGCTTATGGTCTAGGTTGCTTTTTTATTGGGAGTGGTGTTTGGGGATATAAGGCAGACCAAAAATTAATTATGAGATTCTTCAGTTTCTCTATTTTTTTGGTCCGCAGACACATTCCTTAACCCAGCGCAGGGCTGTCCAGGGTAGAAGAAAGCGATTTGATGTGTTATTAGCCGAGCACAAAAACAAAACCAGGGAAAAGGAATTGATTCGCCATCCGGACTCTCAGCAACCACCGCAGCCTCTCAGGGACCCGCATCCCGCCCCTCCTAGAACGTCACAGGAGCCGCACCAAAACCCTCACGGAGTGATTCCTTCCGAATCAAAGCCTTTTGTAGCTAGTAAACCTAAACCTCACACCCCCAGTCTTCCAAGGTAAGTCAAGCCCTCCAACTCTTTCTTCCACCTTCGGAGATGAGACTTGCACATACTGTAAAATCTCAGTATGGTCATGATGTTGAGAAACATACCTCAGGCTCACTGTGGAGATAGTTTTCTTAAGGGAGTTTTACTAGGGGGGGAAAAAAAAAAAAAAAAAGGTTAAGTTCATCAGTAAGTTTCAACCAGGGCTTCTCTTGGTTGTAAATGCAAGCAGCAAAATAAAGCTAGAGTTATCTGCTCTATACTTGCTCAACATCAAGTGTCTCAACCCTGTTGACCAGGCAGAAATTGGTCCTTCCTGCGGGTTAGTGACAGGAACTCTTCACTGGCTATGGCCGCAGTTTCCCTTTCATTTGTCTTTATATAGCAGTGGGAATTCTTGCTGGGGACAGGCATTCAGCCTGAGTTTTTACAGCATCCGTTTATCAATGTGTTTTTTCATTCATTCATTTGGGGCTTTGGCCTGAGCATGTATTAGCGTTTTAGTAGCAGAGTAAACAGTGAATCAGAGTGTTTTAATGAGAACTTATACACAGTGACAGAGACAGTGATGGTGGAATATGTGTGTGTGTGCGCTTATATACTGAACCAAGTTGAAGTAAAGACTGTACCTAGTTTCCGGAGGGAAGGGAAAAAGAAAGGCGTAGAGAAAGAGGGGCTTCCGTGTTAGCCGTTCATTTATTGGCAGCAAGAGCTTCTGCTGAGGAATGTGCCAGCCCTCGGTTGCTATTTCACCCTCATGTGTCTGATCTTTAAAATGGTTGCATAAAGGTGGAAGCACCTCCCTCATGGAAACCCAGGTGTCTGTTTGAGCCTGTCCCAACATGAGCTTTGTGGTTTCTATGCAGTATGCTGGAGGAGCCATCAGAGGAGGCTCCTCAGAGTGTGGTCAGGACCTGGCCAGAGATTCCTCCCCAATTCCTTTCTTTGATCATCTTCTCGTTGAAGTTTTTGCATCTAGAAAAATGTAAGCTTAATTCCAGAGGCCATTATAGGTGTAGGAAAAATACTGCCTTAAGTAAGAGGCTGTAGGCTATCCCCATAAAGTGGTAATACCACCTTATTCTTGTATCACCACCTGTCTCTCCTAGGTTATCTTAGAGCACTTTGTGAATTACAGTCAGCCCTCTGTATCCATGGGTTTCACATCCATGGTTTAAACCAATTGCAGATTGAAACTATTTGGGGAAAGAAAAATTGTGTCATACTGATCATGTATAGGCTTTTTTCTTGTCTCAGTATTCCCTAAACAATACATTACATAGCATTTACATTGTATGAGGTACTAAAAGTAATCTAGAGATTAAAGTATATGGGAGGATGCGCATAGGTTTTATGCAAATACTACACCATTTTATATCAGGCCACTTTGTACATTTGTGGATTTGCAGATTTGGCTATCCCCGAGAGGTCCCGGACTCAGTTCCCCATGGATACCGAAAGAAGACTGTGTTTCATTTATTGTCTTAGTAAACCAAATCCAGTTGAAATTTGAAGAGAAATCAAAGAATTCTGTTAAATTCCATATGTATTTCCCCTTCTTTGGGGGAGAATAGATGAGGGACCTGAACCACCCAAATGGCAATAGAAAGGATTCGTTCTAAGTTACCTTAATTGTATCTGGCGAACAGCTGAACTTAACATCCTGCAGTTCAGGAGAGAGGTTCCTTTAATCCCAAGCCACCTGGATCGGCATCTGTTTTCCCCCAGTGCTAGAGGTGGAACTCAGGCCTCCCCTAGGTTGTTTTGGATACATTGTTGTATCTCAGTTAAGGTGGCTGATTCCCAGGTGTGTGATCTGATCCGTGCTGCACTTTCTACTCACCAAGGCCTCCAGGCTGCCCTGCTCAGCAAGGTGGGAGTGCCCCCATTGACCCTCCTCCAGTCCATGAATCTCCACACCCTCCCCTGCCTGCCACTGAGCCAGCTTCTCGGTTATCCAGTGAGGAGGGCGAAGGCGATGACAAAGAAGAGTCTGTTGAAAAACTGGACTGTCATTATTCAGGTCATCATCCTCAGCCAGCATCTGTAAGTTCCACGTCCACCCCCACATTGACCGTTCCCACACAGCATGGACAGGGCACTGCAGGGGGGCGCGCCAGGGACCTTGGCATGCCCATTACGTGTGGGACGCGGTCAAGGTGTGAGAGAAGCTCAGAACAGGGTGCCCCAGAGGCAGCACGCACTCTGTATGGGGGACATCTCATGCTTTTTTCCCTTTCTCTTCCATGACACTCAGGGCTAGGCATTGTCACTCTCATGCTTCACTGCCTCCGGTACTCAGAGGCAGTTCTGTCTTTCCTGATTAGCTCCTTTCCTGAAGGAGTGAGAACCCTGACTGGGCATGCCAATGTGGGAGTCAGCAAGCACGCGGCTATGTTCTCTCTTGCAGTTTTGCACATTTGGGAGCCGGCAGATTGGAAGAGGCTATTACGTGTTTGACTCCAGGTGGAACCGGCTTCGCTGTGCCCTCAACCTCATGGTGGAGAAGCATCTGAATGCACAGCTATGGAAGTGAGTGCCTGTTATTCTTGGGGAGAGGAGCTGACTTTACACAGTGCTGCGTTGTCTTTTGTTTCCTGTGAGACTGATGTTATGAAGATATGCTTATCTAAACGAAGCTGGCCTTTGGCCCTGAGAAGGTGCCTTGTCATTCATTCATTCATTTACTCCACAACTACATATTGTTCTGGGTCCTGGGGTTCAAAGCAGAAGGACTCTTATGTGTATGGAACTCACAGTCTATTTGGGATTGGCTGAGGGGAGAAAAAAACTAGTCTACAGAAGAATAAGGAGATGATAGCTTGTCCTAAGTGAGAGAATGGAAACAATAACAATCACCAAGACTTACTGAGAGCCAACTATACACCAAACAGCTTAGATATACTTAACATTCACAATTCTCTTGTCAGTTGACCATGATTATACCCTCCCCCACACCCCTGTTTGTTTTTGTGTGTGTGTGTGGGGGGGTTTAATAGATGACAAAACTGAGATACAGTGTCATACAGCAAGTTAGTGGTAGGGCCAGGAATTGAACCTAGAGGTAACATGTTTTCAAGTAAACAGCTGAAAATATACAGGCCAGAGGGATTCAGGGAAAGCCTCTGTGAAGAGGCAGATGGATGAGAAAGAGCAGTCACTGGGATGGTGGGGAGGAGTGGGTTCTGGGCAGAAGGAGGCACCTGTGTCAAGGTCTTGAGTCAGAAATGACAGCTTTTTGGAGAGATAGCAAGAAAGTGAGCATGGTACAAGATGAGGTCCAGGAAACCAGCAGGGACCAGGTGACACTGAAATTGCTTCAGTGTTGAAGGTTTTAGGTAGAGGAGCCATGTGCTCCAGTTTGCAATTTAAGACACCTTGTGTGATATTATGTACTTAATGCTTCCCAAACAGGATTTTAAGTGGAAGAAGAGTTCCATGGCCAAAAAGGTTTAACTCAGCCTTTCCTGGAAAAAAAAAAAAAAAAATTGTTCTATTTTTTACTGCAGAACTTCTCAGAGCCTTTAATGGGCACTGTGCTTTGTAACCGTTGAAGCAGGGAATGTCATGTATAATGTGGAATACGTCCCAAGCTCTTTTCACCTCAGAACCTTTCTTAGGGGAACATCTTGGAGAACTAGTATTTGGTGGGAGTGACTTTGGTGAATAGTAAGCTTTACTAAAGTGACTGTCCAGTAATCCCCAGGCCATCCCAGATCCTCTGTTTGGGCATCATTTACTAGGGCCTCCTTAAATGGACTCTGCCAGTACATTCATTTGCCTCCCTGCCTTGGTTTTCTAATAAAGTCAGACGCAGGTCAGAGGCCTTGGATTGTCTGCAACCCAAAGAACCACCTCCATGATCATTAGTAGGACATTTGTTTCCTTAGAAGACCAGATCCAGAGCACTGTTACTCTGCTTTTCTTTTTCATGTTTCTTTCTGGTTCTTGCTGGATAAGAATTTCTTCTTTATGAAGGAACATTGTCCCTGGCTAGACACAGAATCAGAGGACTGGTTTTGGTGGTTCTGCAGGGGTTTTTCCACACCAGAACTCCCTAAGATACGTGAAATCTCAACTTCATATTTCTTCCGACTACCCACTGGGACTTGGAAAGCACATTGAGCTCATGAAACTATGGGTTTAATGTACTCCTGAGAGTTTAGAATGGACTTCTGAATGTTTTATCCACATTATGTTGGTATGTGGCTCATGGCCAACAGTTTGAGCAAAGATAGTTTCAGTTCCTAGTGACTTGTACGGTGAGACTTTCCTCTTGATGTTGTGAACTTTTTAAAAAGTAGGATCATAAGGTCAACTCTCCTGTCTACTCTCTGTTCTGTCTGAAGGCTGCCTACTTGCTTCCCGCAAGAAGGAAACTGACCCTTTCCATTAGCATGACCACTGGTTTTTAAAAAGTCTACAGCAACAAGGGACGTGTTGCTCAGTAATGAGCTGGCACATAGGCTTGGGGCAGATGAGACCTTGGTGCATGATGCCCCCCAACATAGGAGTGCTGGCAGCCTTTTCAGGCAGCCCTTGAGATTTGCTCTGGGGAGCTCAGCACTTCTCATCCAGAGAACTATTCTCACCTGGCATCGTTAAAGCCCTCAAGGAAACTTTCAAAGTGATCCAGGTCCCATCCTACTGGCTCAGCCCAAAATCCTTCCTTACAGGGTTATTCTGGTGAAATTGGAGGGAAGTGAAGTGGGAATTGAGTATGAAATGAGTAAACTTCAGTTTGTGGAGTCTCTGGCCAGTGGTGAAATTTGACCAGCACTTTCTCTGCAGCATGGCCATAAGCTGAAAGGCCACTGCCCACCTCCTGTGATTTCTGTGAACTGCTTGTCCTCTGTTGATTTGGGACCAGTATCCCATATTCCCTAAGAAGGGGCTGGGATGGTTTTCAAAGGTTTTTGTTGGTGTTATTTTATTTTTTTTTAACTTTTTGAAATGGTAATACAGTCACTGGGCTTAAAAAAGGAAAAACAAGGCTGAGGCAGAAGAATGGCGTGAACCTGGGAGGCAGAGCTTGCAGTGAGCCTAGATCGCGCCACTGCACTCCAGCCTGGGCAACAGAGCAAGACTACGTCTCAAAAAACAAAGGAAAAACGAGTATAAAGAGGCATACATTGAAAATCCTGAGTCCTCCTGTCTCCTACATGCTTGTTTTCCACCCAGCCCCCACAGATGTTACTATTTTTTATGTATCTCTACATAGTGTTATTTTGCCTCTTTATACACAAAAGAGTAACTACTTAAAAGAACTTTTCTTTTTTTTTTTTTTTTTTTGAGACGGAGTCTCGCTCTGTCGCCCAGGCTGGAGTGCAGTGGCCGGATCTCAGCTCACTGCAAGCTCCACCTCCCGGGTTTACGCCATTCTCTTGCCTCAGCCTCCCGAGTAGCTGGGACTACAGGCGCCCGCCACCTCGCCCGGCTAGTTTTTTGTATTTTTTAGTAGAGACGGGGTTTCACCGTGTTAGCCAGAATGGTCTCGATCTCCTGACCTCGTGATCCGCCCGTCTCGGCCTCCCAAAGTGCTGGGATTACAGGGTTGAGCCACCGCGCCCGGCCAAAAGAACTTTTCTAAGAGGAACTTGTAATTGCCTCTCGGAGAGATGGACATCCTTCCCTGCTCTGGAAGGGAAGATTTGGTTCCAGGCAGCCTGGTCTTTAGACCCTGGCTTCCTGAGCCACCTGGTGGTCATGAGAAGCCACTGCTCCCAGTGAGCAGTAGGGCTTGGACTTCATTTAGAGCAGGGATTCTGGATGCCCCAGAATCATCCAGGGGCCTTGTTGCCATACAGCTTTTGATGCAGTCATTCTGGGGTGGGGCCCAGGAACTCAGCTTTCCTAACCAGTCTCTCAGGTAATTAATGACAGTGCCTGCCACCCTCCTCTATGAGTAGTGCAGAGAGAGAGCCTAGCCTCTCAATCTTGGTTCCACATTAGAATCCCCTGGAGAGATTTAGAAATTAGTGATGTCTGTCCCCACTCCCTGCAGAGACTCTGGTGTAATCGGTATGGATGTGGCTTAGGCTCCACAGGTGACTGTAGTGTGCAACAGCTGGAGTTGAGAAGCACTAACATCAGGCCAGAGCTGCACCCTTGAATGGGGTTTTGGGTTTTGTTTTTTGTTTTTTGAAACAGGGTGTCACTGAGTCACCAAGGCTGGAGTGCTATAGTGTGATCTCAGCTCACTGCAACCTCCACCTCCTGGGTTCAAGCAATTCTCTTGCCTCAGCCTTCTGAGCAGCTGGGATTACAGGTGCACACCACCATGCCCGGCTAATTTTTGTATTTTTAGTAGAGACGGGGTTTCACCATGTTGGCTAGGCTGGTCTCAAACTCCTGAACTCAAGTGATCCACCTGCCTCAGCCTCCCACAGTGCTGGGATTACAGGTATGAGCCACCGTGCCTGGCCTAATGGGATTTTTAAAGCATTTGCAAATACTTGCAGTCATTAATTCATTTTATTAATAACAGTAGTCTTTAAAAGCATCTGGAAATCACCTAGGCAGAAGTCTAGGCCAGCTCTCTCACTGGGGTAGTGGTTGGGTCAGCCAGGGCTACCCTGTAAGTCAGGATCAAGGCAGTCCTGGCACTTGCCTTCCAGTCAGGTCTTTTTCTCTTCTGTCACCTCAGTTTAAATTCTGCTGAAAAAGTTTTTGAAATTTTGTTACTGTCACATTTAACATTCAGAGCTAAAATAAAAGGAGACCCTCCCTGGTTTGAATTTAGACGGTTTCTGCATCCTCTGATAAATACCTTGCCCACACATTCTTAACAGAATCCATTGTTACAACATCATGCTGAATATCCCTTGATACTGTAGGGCTTTAGTCCCTTGTTCAGGCCAATAGTTATGACCTAGCAGTTGCTGTTAATTAGCTGCACCCTTCCTTTTCTCTCACTCGTTCCTGAATTCTCTAAACATTTATTCAGTGCCTTCTGTGTTTCCTGCACTGTGCTGAACACTAGGACTACAATGGCAAATAAGCTGGGGATGACTCTCTGCAGAGGATTTGGTGATTAGCAATCCGACACTTAAAGGATGAGCAGAAGCTGGGGTATTGGGTCATGGCATTTTCTCAGAATATAAGGAACGGCTGGAAGCAGGGAACAGGGCATTGGGGGTGGGAGGTGGAGTTAGAGGCTGGGGTAGTAGCAGCGGGGAGTTGCACACATACAGTTACTCTAAGAGCCCCAGGAAGACGTTAAAGAATTTGAAGGAGAGAGGTGACAGAATTGGCTTTGTAGTTCAGAGTGATCGCTTTGATGTGGATGATTTCTCTGTCATAAGCAAAGAGGGTGCCATCTGAAAGTCTCCGTGAATGGCTGTGGTCAGTGTCATTCACTGTCCTCTCATTTTTTCAGGAAAATCCCACCAGTGCCCAGTACCACCACACCCATCTCCACACGTATTCCTCACCGGACAAACTCTGTGCCGACATCACAATGTGGAGTCAGCTATCTGGCAGCAGCCACCGTCTCTACATCCCCAGTCCTGCTCTCATCTACCTGCATCTCCCCAAATAGCAAATCGGTACCAGCTCATGGAACCACACTAAATGCACAGCCTGCTGCTTCAGGGGCGATGGATCCTGTGTGCAGTATGCAATCCAGACAAGTGTCCTCTTCATCCTCATCCCCTTCCACGCCCTCTGGCCTTTCCTCGGTTCCCTCCTCCCCTATGTCCAGGAAACCTCAGAAGTTGAAATCCAGCAAATCTTTGAGGCCCAAGGAGTCTTCTGGTAACAGCACTAACTGTCAAAATGCCAGTAGCAGTACCAGTGGCGGCTCAGGAAAGAAACGCAAAAACAGTTCCCCACTGTTGGTTCACTCTTCCTCCTCTTCTTCCTCCTCCTCCTCTTCTTCTCATTCCATGGAGTCTTTTAGGAAAAACTGTGTGGCTCACTCTGGGCCTCCCTACCCCTCAACGGTAACATCTTCCCATAGCATTGGCCTCAACTGTGTGACGAATAAAGCAAATGCGGTGAACGTCCGGCATGACCAGTCAGGGAGGGCCCCCCCCAGCGGGAGCCCTGCTGAATCCATCAAGAGGATGAGTGTGATGGTGAACAGCAGTGATTCCACTCTTTCTCTTGGGCCCTTCATTCACCAGTCCAATGAACTGCCTGTCAACTCCCACGGCAGTTTTTCCCACTCACACACTCCTCTAGACAAACTCATAGGAAAGAAAAGAAAGTGCTCACCCAGCTCGAGCAGCATCAACAACAGCAGCAGCAAACCCACAAAGGTTGCCAAAGTGCCAGCCATGAACAACGTCCACATGAAACACACAGGCACCATCGCAGGGGCACAAGGACTGACGAACAATTCCCTCCTTCATCAGGTAGGAAATGGACTATGACCCCCGTGGGAATGCCCATTTCCTCTCCCTTGGGATCTTTTGCCAGCTCAGAAATGTGTTTGGTTGGATTGGTTGGTTGGTTAGTAAACAGATATTCAGCTTCATGGTGTCTTAAAAAAAAAAAAAAAAAAAAAAACAGCTCACAGCCATATGAAGGTAAAACAGGCTCTTCTGCCAGAATTTCTGGTGCCTTTGGAAGATGCTCTTCGGAAAGAAAGTATAGTAATGCGTTTTTAGTAGATAGAGCCACAGAAAGCATCAGGCATGACAGCAAAATCATAATTGGAGGGGAGTCCCTTTATGAGATAGCCAATAATGTGTTATCCCAGTGCTGTGAAGTGTGTGCCATTCAAGGCTTTAAGGAAGGAAGCAGGCAGTTTCCTGGATAGTGGTTCTTCAGTATGTTCCTCTGAGGAAAGCTGGGCTAAAATCAAACTGATCTAGAAAGGGGTGATTTAAGATTTAAAATGAGGCGGGGCGCAGCGGCTCATGCCTATAATCCCAGCACTTTGGGAAGCTGAAGCAGGCGGATCACCTGAGGTCAGGAGTTTGAGACCAGCCTGGCCAACATGGTGAAACCCCTGTCTCTACTAAACATAAAAAGATTAGCTGGGTGTGGTGGTGCATGCCTGTAATCCCAGCTACTCAGGAGGTGTAGGCAGGAGAATTGCTTGAACACGGGAGGTGGAGGCTGCAGTGAGCCAAGATCACACCACTATACTCCAGCCTGGGCAACGGAACAAGACTATATCTCAAAAAAAAAAAAATTATTATTTTTCCCTCTCAAAAGAATTTCAGATATTCTGGTTAAATCTCACCCCTTATTTTCTCTTCCCCTTTTTGAGGGAGGCAGGAAAAACAGGATTCAGTATGGGCATAGCAGAAGATTGAAATCTCATTCCAAGCTCGTAGTTAAAAAGAAGTCTGCATATGAACCCATCAGTAGAGAAGTGGCTAAGTGGTTGTGGGATTCATAATTAACCATGACTTTCTCTCTTAGGCTGTACTTTTGTCTCGTCCCAGCTCTTCTGCCTGTTATTGACCTCACCTGTAGCTGTTTCTTCCAGCTTCCTTTGCTCTAACTTCCAGCTCATCTCTCATCTTGTTATTTTATTCATCAGGATATCTCCTCACCTTGCTTACGAACAGGAATTTCAGCAACATCACCCCAGAGCCCTGATTTAAAATGTGAGGCTCTTTTTCATGGTTTTTTTTCCCCTTCCTCGTCTTCAGAACTTAACTCAAATGCCAGCCAGGTTAGAACTTTTTCAGAAAATACCAAGAAGTTTCTTAGTATTTTCTTAGTGTGATATAATTTTCCTCTAATATTTGGGTGAATTAACACCCAGTGCCAAAGGTATGGGGAAAATATTTGTGAATTTAACCAGCTGCATACATTATGGGTTATTATGTGTTGTTCGGCATTCTGATCAGGGGATTCCTGGACAAATGAGAAGTGTGCTTTTCCTTCTTGGTTTGTAGTTACTCATTACAGTTTATAAGCCTAATAATCCAATATAAACACAGAAGACATGGTGTACCCATTATTCAACACACCGTCGTTGAGAGTAGAGTCCCCAGGAGACGTGATCCCCATGGGAGGGGCATCCCATTGTGCTGTAATGTCCATCTCACATCTGTATTAGTGAGCACACTGTCTTCATTTAGACAGGAGTGTAGATCTTAATGCCCACAAGTAACAAAAAGGACAGAAGGGGGCCAGGTGGGGCACAGCAGAGATTTGACAGTGCCTACTAGAAATAGGGCGACATGGAGCAGCTGCTTCCAGACATTTGTTACCAGCTTTAAAGAGAGGCTGCAGATCTGGACTTGCATGTGAAATTTAGTTGAGATATATGTGTATGTGTGTGTGTATACACACACACACACACACATATCCACATACATAAATACACACGTTTTTTTCTCTTCTTAAATCTGGTATAGACTATGTATCTGTGGGCCATCTTTGGCTCATGACCTGCCATTTTGCCACCTTTTATTTTTACCATATAGTGGCACTGCGTCTTACTAGAACTACGCAGACAGCCTAACTTTGGGCTTTTTCCTTAAAATCAGTTTCCACTTGAGTTTGTGTTTGAGAGAGAGTTTCTCTGCAGAGGAGTACTTTTTTTTTATGCTGCACAAATCCTGGGGCAGGAGTGGGGATGCTTGCTTAGAGATCAAAGGATCATTGAACCCCAAGAAGTGTTGCACATTTTTATGTCTTTGTTCATTTATCTTATAGCTTTCATAAGAATCTCAAAGGGACTCATGGCCCCAAAATACTTTAAAGAATGCTGCTGTTACAAAAGTAGGGATCTCTACTTGCTGTTCCTTGTGGAGCTGCCTTTAAAACAAAAATAACTGGGCTAGTTGAAGTTTTCTAAACAAGGGGATGAAGAGTGGGACACGCTAGCAAGTCTGGGAGATGATGGGGTTGGGTAGTGACCCCCAAGAGTCTGTTCATGGCCTCTGCCACCAAAGATGTAAAAGCCCACTGTGAATGCCAGAGTTTCCTCTCCCCCAGAATGGGCACTGCCCTGAGTGCGAACTGTCACACCTGTGTGTGCTGGCCCTTGACCTTGTTCCCTTCTCAGTTAACAACCTGGAATACCTTCAAGGACACAAAATCAGTAAATAAAACTAACAGGCAAACATAAGAACCTTTTCTCTAAGCTAGAAACCCATGCCTGCATCTCTTCTAGTCAGTTGTCTAGAAGTAAATCTTTGCAATGATTGTGCCCAGTAATAGTGAAGGCATTTGAAAACTAAGGCCAAATTCTATAGCTGACTGTTCCTGGTGTCACTCAGTCAATGGAGACTTTAGTAGTGTGCAGCCTTTGGAATATTCTTGTTTAGAATCAAGAGAGTGCAGTGTGCAAACGCTTACTTACCTTTTCATTATTTCCCCACCCCCTCTTTTTTGAAAGCCAAAGGCACGTCCCTGACAGCTGAAAATAGCACGGGGAGGAATAATGCGGACACTTTTGAGGACAAGTTACACCTCCACTCAGCACTCTGGACTCCACGATGCCTTTGAGTCTGTTTTCCCAACCTCCTGTGGGCCTCAAGGGTAGAAACCTGCCTGACTGTTGTTTTAACAGAGGATTTCCCTGAAGCTATGTCTCTAGCAGTGAGTACTCATAAAGGACACTGGATCAAGTTCAGCCACCGAATTGCTTTTATCAGTGTTAAAGTGGTCTGGACTGCTTGTACCAATCTGTGAGAAGTTTTTTTGTTTTGTTTTTTAACTTGCAGTATATCACGGAGCCACTCTTCAAGTAGATTGGCTGGGCAAAAGAATGTTTTGGCAAGAGCGTTACTGTAGACCTTTCTCCCTCCTTCCTTTTACTACCTTTTTTTTTTTTTTTTTAAAAACACTGTCGTCTGTAGGTCACTCTCCAGCAGTTAGGCACCTTAACTGGAGACCAGAAACCTTCCAGAGGACAGAGGGCTGCATCCTGAGCAACCCTCTGAAGAAGGGAATTAGGCTTTAGATTTTGATAGCAGTGTTCCAGGAATGAAATACGGATGTTAGCCCAAGGCACCATGACAAAGTAGCCCAGCCTTTTGAAAGTAATTTGGGAAAAGAAACTGTCAGAAGTTTCTAACTTACAAACTGGTTTGAGATTTTCGATGCCCAGACAGCAAGTATAAATTATTTTGGAGACTTACTTTTCATGATACAAAAGCAATTCTGTGTGAATTTTTTTTTTTTTTTTTTTAAGAAAGAGAATGCAAGCTAGTTTTGAGAAAGGAAGGCCAAATTGGGTCAGGGGAGGATGGGAATGAGGAAGTTAAAATCACTATAGGGAGAAAAAACTTTTTTCAAGATTTCCAAAGAGAAGAAATTTTCTTAATCCATTAAGTTTTCATGGTAAACAGTATGTCAGATTGGGTTGGTTGTCCTACCTAGTCTATTTTTGAAAGTCACCTTTTAAAGTGACATTATTAGACACATTTAAATGTTTCCAAGGCACTCTCTGCATTACCCTTTGTTTCCTCTTTGGATACTGTCCTGGGACTAAATGTAGGTTTCCACTTCAAGCACTTCTGGCATTGTGTGGTTTTGTATGCACTCCCCTTCATGCCACTCCAGATGTTTATTTGGATGTGGTTGGGGACGAGAGCAGACACCAAGGGAAGGGAGTTGGAGAATATGTAAGTCCTGACCTGAAGGTCTTTTGTGATGTGTGTATAGGATTGCCCTGACCCACACCCTCCTTTCTTGGGATTATACCAGCCATCTTCCTGAGAGTTTTGGAGCCCTCTAGGATTTTTTTTCTAGTACCCCAACCCTAAAGAAAGACCTTAATATGTTAAAACAGCATTGCTTGGAGAAGGTGTCATTGAATTCGGGTATGAGCCAGAGCCTTTAAATGGGTGCTTCCACCACTACAGGCTTCTGACACGAGAACCAGGCACTGTTGCTTAGAAGAACACACAAAGTTGCCGAACACAGGGTAAAATTTCCACGGCACTGATCATTGCCCTGGCCAGGGCCTGATGAGAGCCAGTCAGTACATCCTTTTTTCCCTACAGTTCTTGGGTTTCAAACTTCAGTTTCAGGGAATTTCAAGTCAACAACAGGTAGAATGAATAAACTTGGTTACCAGCCTAATAATGTGAATTGCTACAGAATTATTCTTATGTAAGAAAACAAAAACTTTATGCAGATACTTTAGCTATAAATCGATGTAAAATACTGATTTTTTTTAAAGGAAGGAGAGAACAGTATCTTGTTCAATTATTATGCAGTCAATCAGTAAATGTTTTTAAAATGATACTACAGGAGAGCTTAGTAAGGAGAGGGCATGGATGGGCCAGTTTGGCATAGTTAGGATAAATCAATGTGGTTTCCATCCCAGTCGGGGAAGAGAGGAGGTGAGAGGGAATCAGAACGTACCTAGTTGATTCCTTGGTGACAAGTGCAATGGGGTATGGGTAGAATTTATTTTCAGAGCCAAGAGGACTTGATGGTTATAAATAAAGTTGCCTTTAGCAATGGAATTTACAGAGAGATCATGTTGTTCCGAAAGATGTGAATAGGATCCATGATAACAAGTTGATTCAGAACAATGTAGATATTTAGATTAGCAAGTATTGAACATTTGATTTCTTAGACTGAGGTTTTAATTGAATTTCATTATGTCTCCCGGTAATACACAGAGCATCGGGATTAGGAAATTAGCCATTTTGGATTCTGCCTGCCACAAACAGACCTATTCTAAACAGTGCTATTAAATTTTAGACTGTTCAAATATTTTATTTTCTCCTACAGCTACTTTTTATGATGATGAACAATTAAGACCATTTAAAACACGGGAGTACAAGTATTTTTTTGAATTAAATTAACTTGCAAAAACCAAATTTGCAGTGGTTGGGTTGTTTCTAGACAGACTTTGGTATCAATTTAAAACCAAGATAATTTTTATATTCTTTCCAATAGAATTTCATGACAACTCCTGCAGTTTTCTTAACCTACAAAAAAAAAAAAAAGTGCTGCAATGATGAACAAAGAATTAAACAAAACCTACTTTTGTATCTTTATTTTGGAATTTCTTGTTCTATTATAAATATGGAAGTATCCCTATTTCAGAAGACATATTTTGTTAAAAATGAATTGTACATATTTAAATATGTATTTTTGCACAGGTCTTTTTTTCTGATATCCTGTTTTGGTACAATTGAGATCATCTAGTATTTATTTATTAATTAATAAAAGTAAATACCTTTTTATAATTTGAAGTGGTTCACTGCCAAGCCAATAGTTCTAGAACCTGCCTCCTTTACAGTTTTAAGGGATGCCTCTGTTCTGTGAAAAGTCTTTGTCCCTTTTAGTGTCTCGGGAGTGGATTCATACAGATGAAGTGGGCATTGCTTCTTCCTGGTTGCCTGGTTTCCCGATAGACTACATGTAACTAAGTGACACACTGCTTTTCTTTTGTTAGTATTTTATGTGTGAGAGTGTGTGATTGTGTGTGTGTGTGTATACTCTGAGCACATGTATGTTAGTATGTGATGTGGTTTAAAACTAATGGAAAAAACTGAAAGTGCCTGAACCTAGTTTTAAGCTTAGACAGAATCTCTTTAAAAAGACTTGAATGTTCAGTTGAACTTTTGGAGTTTGCTTTTTTCCACGTAAATATTGTTTCTAAAATTTTAGGGGAGGAGTTGAAAACCACCCATGCTGGTAATTTTATAAGGTATTTTAAAATTAAGACCTTTTGGTTCATAGTAATTCAATTGGTGATGGATTGCCTGGTGGCACCAAGGGTTGCAGATCTTTTTGTCAGCCAGCAACTTACACGATGTGTCCGTTTTGTTATTCACTCATGAAATACAATTTAAAATAAAATATTTAAAATATTTTGTATTCCAAAAATATAATACAAACAAGTACCTCTGAGAACATGAAAAAAATGTATAATTTGAAAAATGTAACTTATAAAGGCAGCTGTCTTCCTGTAAGAGTTCTGTTGCCAAGGAATTTCTTAATGTCACTCATTCTGTCCAGGGGGTTTGGGGGGATTGGGCTTTGAAAAGATATTGTTAAAAAGTTTGTTTAGCAGAAAATAATCATTTTTACATTTTGTGCAAAACATTTTACATTTTCAGATCATTTAAATGAGCACTACATACTGTCAGTGTGAATGTAGGGCCTTGAAAGCATTTTGCTTTTTTTTTTTTTTTTGAGCTTGGTTATAAAAGCAATCTCCTGTGTTAAAAACGTGTGAATAGTTTGATAATTTGTACACATAATCAAGAGCATCTCAGCTGGACTTTGTGTTGGCTGCTGTATAGAACATGAACAAATGTCAAGGGATAGAAAATTACTTTGGATATTTAAAAGAGAAGAAATATATAGTCTATTTGTTTTGTAACAAGTTTCTGTAAATAAAATAATTTATACTATTTATAAGAAAAGGTTGTGCTTTGCTTTATAAGAAATTAGCTTGTGGAACAAACATGTTACTTAACGGGCAATAAAATTAGGACTTCTTAATAAATAAGGTTGGCTGCATGAAATATTTTACATGTTTCTGCCTCGTGATACTAAACCCTTTCAGTCTACTCTGACTTTTCATCACTTTTGGCATTGAACACCCTTGTGAAGCCCCTTCACTTTAGCCTCCCTCTTACATAAGCTAAATAATTCTAAGACCGGGGCATGTTTCCATTTGCAGGCACAAAGCTTTGCCTTGGATAAATTAGCAACTCTGTAAACAGTGAACACTGCTGTATTCTGGCCTTGCATGTTTGTGAAGGAAACAAGAGGGAGTTGATGGATTGAGAAACACATTCTGTTTGTACTTAGGTGCAAAATTGATGACATGTAGTTTTGATTTAAGATAAGCTTTTTATCCAGACCTGGTCTAATCTCTTCCTTTTACATATCTTCCTTACTGGCAGTACAAGTGCATTTTAGTATTATTTGGAACACAGCAAAATCATTTACCTCTAGAAATCCAGACATTTTTACTTTTTGCAAATCATTCTGATAAATTATTTTTGTTGCTTAAAATAAGAGGAGCAACTGCTTTGTATATTAGCAAAAATGTTCATACCTGATATGAGAGAGTCATGTTGGCTTCAGTTCCTACTGCCTTATGGACTTCCCATTCCCTCCTTACTTAAGTCAGCCACCCACTCAGTACTTGCCACAAATCTAATCATGAGTTGCTCTCTGTAGGTAAATCCTTTCACCATGGATGTCCTCAAACCTCCCAAGAAAAGGTTCAACTGCTAAGTCAATCTCTTACCCTTTTTAATTCCATTCCCTTGCAGGTATCCCGGCCCTGCATAACAAGATGATCCCAACTCAAGGAAAAGGGTTTAGCAGTGTTGGATCTTGGCATATGTGGGATTTCACCAGGCAGAAAGGCAGACAAGAGTAAGATTCTAGGCAGATGGAGCAAATGCGTCGAACATGGGTATGAAGATGTTGAGGGATAGAGAATAATTCTGCAGGAATTCTGCTGGATGGAAGGGCCTTATAGGGTTAGAAAAGCTGGTGTCAGACTGTCAAGGACTTTAAATGTCATGGGGCCTTATCCAGGAACACATGGGATCAGGCTTAGATTAACCCAAATGTAACTGTCAGAGCCCAGAGATACTTCATGGTCCAGTCCTAGCACCGTGCAGCTGCCAAAAGTCAAAGCCATTCAAATCTGTACTGAAAACTTTGGAAAATCAAAGCAGCACTTAAGTCTCTTTCCCCATCTCTTGAATTCTCACACTCCTTTGCCTCAAAGATCTGTCTTTACCTGCCCCTGTCCCCGGTCCTAACAAAAAGCACTCCCCTAAATCAAGTCTAAGTTCCTCTCCCTTCTCACTCCTTTCTTAGTCTCCTCTTTCTTGTAAGAAGTTCTTGCTTCTGTTGTTAATGGAAGTTAATTAAAGTAGTCTTTCACCTTGTAAGGCTGTAATTCTTGGCACTTGTTATCCTCATTTTCTACATCCAAAACCCGTGGACTAGAATATCTCTTAGGAGGTAAGGAAGAGTGAGGCTATCAGCCGAAGAAAAAGTCTCCAGAGGGAAGGGGAGAATCACTTGTAATTTAATACTTTGTCAAAAAAACATCTCTGCCACCTATGGCTCCCCAGTAACAATGGAAGACAGAATCAACAGGTGAGAACCTCGGACAAAAATAAGTTACAAAGCCATTGTAATCCAGGTAAGAGCTATTAAGTTTCCAAACTAAGGCTGACCATGAGGATACCTGATACTGATTTCAGAAATCTTTTAAAAGTAGAACCAACAGGCCTTGAGGTCTAATTCTATTCAACATTAAAGGGAAGAGTGAGTCTAAGAAGACTTCACGTTTTTAGCTTGGCCAAACCAATTGAGCTTTAAGTGAAATGTGTGATATGGCAATAGAGAAGGAAAAAGACATAACGATAGATTTGAGCTGCTGGTGGGAAATTGTGGTTTAGTGCCCAGCTGGCTGTACAGGCTGGATAGACCTTAGGAGGGAGGTTTGAGCTGGAAAATAAAGATGGAGAGTTGTCTTTCACTCTTAGATGATCAATGATGTCGTAAGGGTAGATGAGTTTACCTGGGGAAATTAGGTAGCTATTCGATTTGGCTTATTATGTTAAAATAATACTTCTCTAGTTAAGTACTTAATATGCCCAACACTGTGCCAATCATTTTATATATATCCTCCTTTTTACGAAGCCCTCATAGGGCAGGTATTTTGATTCCAATCATACTGATGAGGAACTCCTAAGAAGGTATCTTGCTTAAGGTCCCATGACAAATAGGTGGCAGATCCAGGATAATTCAAGCCTGTCAGAACAGTGATTCTTAATTTTTCCCCTCCTTAGGTTCCAGGAATCACGTGAAGTTATGGATCCTGTCTGACCAAGGCACAGGCACACCACATTTTTATATTCCGCCTCCAGGATATCACAAACCTGAAGCCCATCCTCCATGGCCCAGAGAGAAAACCCAGGACAAGACCTTGGAGAAGACTATTTTCATGAAGACAAACGGAGAAGAGCACTAGAGTAAAAAGTCAGAGAGGTAAGGAAAGGCAGAGAAGGGTGAGATTGAGATGGTTACAGGGTTAGAAGTTTAAAGTCGATTCCATTATAATTATCAATGCCATCTACCCATTTAGGTAATGTTTTATTATCCTGCTGTTTAGTCCAGGATAATTGGAACAGCATGTATTGGGTTGGGTGGAAAAGTTAGAACTTGGGCAGGGAGATTGCCAAAGAAGAGTATGAGTGAAGATGTGACTGAGTGATTGATGATGGTCTGAATTGGGTATTCAGGGAAGAGAACTGGAAGCCCACCACGTAGAATCTATGCAGGTGCTCTTAAGACACTGGTTTGATTGGAATTACCTTCTTGTTAGATCTTAGGAATCTCCTTCCAGGTAACTTTTTCTATGATTAGACAATTGATTTGTTCAGGGTCACAGAGCAAAGTCCACATTCAATTCCATGTGGCCAATAAAAGTGAGGGGCTACAAGGTGGGATCCAGGGGCCAGAGTTATCAAAGTGATACAGCACTTTTAGGAATAGGACAGGGAATGGAGGAATTGGAATTCCAGTATTATTTTCAAAAGCAGAACTGGCTAGATGTGCTTGTGATTCCTGGGTGAAAACCATGGCAGTGGACAGAAGCAGCATGAAGGAAAAGAGCACTGGAATTCAGGTTGAGGAACTGTGAAGCCAAGGGTGTTGTATAGGTTGTCCATTTCAAATTAGTTAGGGTTGGGAGGAAGACTGAGGCAGCTACTTGGTTCTGGGATGATCTGCATGGAAGAGGGCAGAGTGACTTGGAGATGTGTGATTGAGGACAGTGAGCACAGTGAGTTGATGGTGTTGCTGGGTTGTAAGCAGCTTCAAAGAGATGGCATTTTGAAAGAAGGTGGAAACATAATGGCCAAGGACTAGGAAACAGTGAACTGAGGTGCATATGAATAAACAATCTCTAACCCAGAGGATTTCAAGAAAAGCAGAGTCCTCAAAAACCAAAGGTAGAGTTTCCCCACATTGGTATTATGCTAATTACACGTATAACAGTACTTTGGAAAAGCACAGGTCTCTGGTCACCTCTAAAAGGCAAGGTTGGTAAAGTTGTCAAGGTGCCACCTGCTGGTAGTCTTAACTAAATGGTCTCTTCAAGAGAAAGGGGATATATAATGGTTGGATTAAAGGCTCATTGAATAGCAAATTGTCCCTCTTGTTTCTTAAACCCAATTTGTACAGGGAAAGTTATGCCACTGTAAGAGATTTTTAAATGAAAAAAAAAAAAAAAAAGTTACACCCTTTGACGATGTATGCCAAGGTTAAAATGGCCTGGATCAGATTGCTACAAATTCCTGATAGCCTTTATATTCCTTCAGAAACACAAGCATAATGCAAATCTGTGGCTCTATAGCTTTGAAACCAAAACTAGTGATTGTCAGAGCTTTTCATGTTTTCCAGATGGCGATTTTAACCTCACTGCCCCATTGCCACTGTGGAAGCATAGGTTTGTTACCAGCAACTACAAGTTTATGTAGCATTGGGAAGGCCAGGAATTATCATAGTTCCCTCTACCCTTTTTCCCCATAATCATGGGGGCAGGTATTTCAACTGTCAACTATTCATCCTCTTAAAAACATTAGGTTAACGGCAGCACCAAGGACTAATTCAGAATATGAAATTACAGAAATGATTTGCTAATGATTAGTAGCCTTTTATCAATTAATGTTTGGTCAGGTTATAAAAGACCAAATGTATTCAGTGTGTTTGGAGTATTGCATGCTCAGTGATCAAGTTGAAGGTATCCTTCTAGCTGTCTGGGGCAGGTAAAAGCTGGTTGCTTAACAAAAGTGGTTTTTACACTGTTTCTGTCCTAAGAGACACTGCTATTTAGTAAGTTAAAAATTGACCTAAAGCTATTACTTCTAATACAGGAAATAGATTACTATACTTTGACATAGCTTTAAAATATTTATCTCTTACTGGAGAGATTTGCTATAAAATCAGATTTTATTGAGGTAAGAGAAACTGGCATTTTTGCTTTAAAAATAACCACAAAAGATAGTTTATCCTGGTGATGTCATTTCACACTAGGATAATTTTGACTGAAACCAGGGTTAAAAATAAGATTGTTTCCAACTTCAAAAGAAAACATTTACCAACATGAAAAAGAAAACATTTACCAACATGAAAAAGGAACTATGTATAACTGTTTTAGCTCTGTCGCTCTGCAAATATAACTATCATTTCATAATCTTTCCATATTGTGAAGTACCCTTCTTGAATAAAAGCAGAAAAGTAAGACTTTCAAAAAACAAGCTGTATTAATTAAAGCTACTAGACACAAGATGGTTAAGAATTATTTGGATAGTTTCTCCTAGCTCAAGCTTGTCCAACCCACAGCCCACGACAGCTTTGAATGTGGCCCAACACACGTGTAAATTTTCTTAAAACATTTGAGGTGTTTTTGTTTTGAGCTCATCAACTAAGTGTATTTTGTGTGGCACCCAAGACAGTTCTTCCAGTGTGGCCCAGGGAAACCAGAATGTTGGACACCCCTGTCCTAGTTGATTAACACAGGAGACTTTTAACCATCAACCTCACATGTACAATATTGGGGATAGTGCAGGGATAACAAACTCAAATGCCAACAGGGGCCAGGCAGACAGGCAGTGTATATGAACAGACTGGGTGGACTGGGGCACACTGGAAAACAAGCTATGCTTGTCGCTTAGCTTATTGGAGCATGAGTCCAGAGTTAGCCTAATCTTTCCTTTTTCCAGAGAAGCTAGATATGTGGTTTTTAAACTATCAACTTTTACGTGGTGACTATAAATTTTTTTCTTGAAAAAAGTATTTAGGGTGTGCCAGTTGCAGCCTGTGGGTGACCAACTGCAACTTTGTAACATTCAGAAGCCACCTTTGCATTCCTGACTAGCTTTGGTTTTCTGTAGAAACCCAAAAAGCTGAGGTTTTTTCTTCAAGAAATGTTTTCTAGATAAGCATTTTTAGAAATTCATAGGTGGATATTCTTAAATACTTTAGGCATATTCAGCATTTTAAAAGCCTTCCCTCCACCATAGTGCCTACAGGCAACTCCTTTCAAAACAGAGCCCTGGCCACATTGCTTTCCTTGGCATATAACCAACGGCTCTTCTTACAGCGATGAGAGCCACTGTCTTCACTTTTAAGATAATGCTTCTAATATTTTGCCATTAATTACCTTGTGATAGGGCTTTGATTTCCCAGCCTATTATTCATAGTCTACTGAAGAGTTTTTATCCTGAAGAAATGTTGAATTGTATCAAATTATTTTCAATCAAATGAGATCATGTCTTTTTTTCTACTAATATGTTAACAGGGATCCCATCAGTAAATGCTCTTTAAAACAAAATCACTCAAAACTCTTCTTTCCTTCCCCTGCCTTTTACAGTAAAATGCCGTTTGCCATTCTCTTCTGAACTCACCTCTACCAAAACTGCTCATTAAGGTCACTAGTATCTCTGGCATCTTTCACTTAAGCCAAAAAGCTTAGGATCTCCTCTGATAAATTTTCTCACCCTCATCCTCCTCACCCCATTCTAATCTTTTAGCAAATCCAGCTGCCTCTACAATCCATGCCACCAAATGCCATAGTGAGACTTAAAAGGTAAGCCAGATCTGCACTTAAAATTACCAGTGACTTTCCCTGTCTTTCTTCCCTCCATATGTGCATGGGCTCTCCCTCCTTTTCACTTAAATGTCACCTTACCATAGAAGCCTTCCACAACACCTCACAGAAGAGAGCCTATACCCTGTATCTATCTGGTTTTATATTTCTTATAGTACTTATTCCTATCTGACACACTGAAAAAAAACTGATAAAACTAATAAAGTAATAAATTGTTTCAAACAGGGGAACAACTTTGTTTTCCTCACTATTACTATGGTCCTACTTTTGGAAAAAAAATTCAATTTGCTAATATTTACATACAAGGTTTTAGAAAACTGAGATTGGCCTTGGTAGATTCTGTAATCCAGGTTATGTCAGCGTCCTAAAATAGGGTAACTTCCTGTCCTATATGGTTACTTGTTTCTGAGGGAAAGCTTATTACACATTTTATTATCTTCTATCTTTTGTATACTAAGTGGGAGACACTGTTTAATTGTAGGCCACTATATAGTATGTACTCTTCTAAAAAATCAGGAAGCTTACAGGTAAGAAATAATGGGCTGTGTCACCATCAGTATTTTACTGATGAGGCATTTAGGATCTGAACCCAGCTGCAATCTTAACACTATAAACCAGACTTTCAGTAATGAATAATTCAAGTGACAGTATTTTAACGTAAGTGGACCCCATTCTACAAGGCATATGTGTTTAAGAAAAAATAAGTGGAAAGAAACAACAATGCATATTTATTTTATACAGGTGACCTGGGCACATAGTGAAGTAAGCTATAAAAATTCCAAATAATTATCTCTAAAGGAAATCCTTTGTTACATGGCTTTACATATTAATTACTCTGGAAAGTTTTTGAACTCTGTTTAGTAGCAGATCTCCTTTCTTGATAGTTTCTTGGTACTGCCAGTTCTTGCTATCAGGTCTATAAATAAATTCAAGAAAAAATGAATTATTTACCAGTCACATTACTCCATGACAATAGTTGACCTACTTTTAAAATTTAAGGCACTTAAAATTTAGGAATGCCCCTTATTCTAAGCAATGTAACAAATGATACACAAAATGAGAGTACCTGTTGGTTTCTACTATTTCATTCACTTTATCTATTTTGCAGTGTAGTCTCCCAGCAGCAATAAACCTGGACAGTTCCCTAGAGAAAAAAAATAACAGCATTAGCTTTATAGAAAATTCTTAGAAAAAATGCAAACTGCATTACAATACTGTCTTAAAATTGTAACATTTAGCGTCCCTTCAGGCTTGTTATTGCATATGCAGTAGTTGAGGTTGTCCCTGATGTATTGCAGGCTTTAAGTCATCTAGAATAAACATGAGCCTAGAAGTTCATATTCAGATAGAAAGTAGATCAAACAATGAAACCATTCATATGTACTCTGAGAAAAACTGTAGGTTAGGAAAAATTAGGGAATAAAACTGATCAAAGTAATAAAGTAATAAACTGTTTCAAAAAGACCTAAAACAAAATTATGGAACACAGCCCATGGGTAAACACATCAACAGCAGTAGTAGTTACTAAAACAACGACCCCTTCCCTCTCCAACATATCTTAGTCTAAACAAGTGAGAGGCGAGAAATGATGCAGAATTATTGCTTTGCCCATTTTTAAAAAGGGGATTTAATCTAAAATGTAATTTTTTAAGGGAGAAAAAAAGAAGAATCTATGACAACCCAGATTTGAAATTCTTAGGTATCACAGAAATTTAAAACAAGGGCTTTTTAGGTAACAACAACTAGAGCTCAGTGGTGCAACCTTTGCCTCTTAAGCTTGTCTTAGAACGTGAAGGAAAAAAAACTGAACAATTCAAATACTACCTGAATTCAGCTACTACCTGAAAGGTACCAGCTGCCTTGCATTCACTTGTCATCAAGATGACTTAAGGAATACTGCTGTGTGTGCCCCTAACTAATTAAGGCTTTATCATCTTCACATCACAGATACTGAAGAGACATAACCTGACCAAGGCCACAGAGTTGGAAAAAGAAGGAAAGCCAAGCCCTTTTTCTCATGCACTGCTCACAACAAGCCACTCCTTCCACTGACTCATGAAAAACACACTCATAAGGCCCAGCCTGCACCCTAATGAACAACCCTCTTGGAGAGTGGTCATCTGACTTCAATTTCACAGACTAGAATTCAGAAATGGAACAAAATCTTGGGATACCTGCCTTCTATTTTGGTGAGGATCATTTTAAAAATGTGTTGGTGTCTGAAACTTACCTTGAAGTGGTTAAAAAACATAAAATGTATAGATTGTGACAATATGTTAAAAGGTACTGTACAATTCTTTAGAATGTTATGGATGTTTGAAATTTTAAAAATACTAAAAAGAAAATGGTCTTATTTAAAAGAAATGCATCTTCATTTAAAGTTTCCACTGCGGACCACTGAAAACACCATCATCAACATTTAAAAACATCTACATGTGGGAGCCACCGATCGAGATACCATCTGGACATCCCATATTGTGTATGTCTCTTCCCCAACTCTACTCTCACCACCCTCGTCCAAGCCACAGTAACATCTCCTCCAAGAGCTACTAAACAGCACAACTGGTCTCTCTGCTACCTTACTCTATATAAGACACTGCATAGGACCATGTAACTTGGGCTCAAAATCTTCCAGTGGCTCCCTATCAAACCTAAATTAAAACTCAAACTCCATTCCATGACCTACAAGGCCCCTACACAAATCACCTAACTCTCCATATATTATCTTCACAATCTCCTACTCCTCCCCCGACGATGCTGGAGCCACACTGACATTTTGTGTTCCTACAACATCCAAGCTTATTCCTGACTCAAAGCCTTAGCCTTTTCTATCCCCTTTTCTGCGTGGAGAAGGACTCCATATGGCTGACTCTTCTCAATTCAAATCTCAAAGCAAACCTCACCTCCTCAAGCATGCCGTATGTAAGGATAGCATTTTCTCATCTCCATTTCTATGTAATTTCTATGTGAAATTACCTCCCCCCTCCCCGTCAAGGTTGAGGGAACCAATGTAAACAAGTAAACTGTACCAAGTTCACGTATTAAAAGGCAACTTTAAAACTTCAATTAACATGGCATTATTCAGACTTACTGATCAATGAATTCCACACCAACACCAAATGCTTCTGCCATATAGCCAAGGGTTAATGACCTGTATGATTCCAGCAGCTGACTGTATGCATGAATTCTCATTTCTCTTACATAGTATCGATAATGAGGGGCAAAAAGCCAGTCCTTTTTCATTTCCTGTTCCACAACCGCTGCAATGAATAAAATGACAAATTATAAGACTCTCCTTTTCAGATAAAAAGATTAAAAACTAAAGCAACACTAGTTGAGTCCAACAGATAGATGAACAAGTATCAGACTTCTCACTGCCCTTCCACATCATGTCATCAACAATGGCAGCAACAGCAGTGATAAAGAAGGCCAGGTATGTAAACATCATCCTTAAGTAGCAGGTGGCTATTTGACATCACCATCAGAAAGAGCTCAGCTTCTAAAGGAACTTGTTCACAGATGACAAAGTTCACGTACTAACATTTTAACCATGGAGAACTTCTTATGCCTTAAGTAAAATAAAGTAAAATTCATTTTTTAAACAATTCTAACAGAGAAACAGCAGATGCAGTGAAAAATGATTTATACAGACCAGAAAAAGGTATAAACCAGACATTTTCAAACAGCAACAAAACTCAGAAGCAAGAAAGCAAAGACTGATGACTCCTATTTCCTGTTTATTTGTTCATGTAAATAGTCTGCATAACAAAACACTATGCACAAGGTTTGAAGACAAATGATAAACTAGAAAATTTATTTACAATGATGAGTTAATGGCCTTGATCCAGAAAGAGGTCTTTAGAAGTCAATTAAACAGTAAAATGTACGTAGAGGATTAATGAGCAATCCACACAAATATAAATTATTTTACTGAATAACTCCTGTATATCACTGCTCTAGATAGTTATATAGCAGTGAACCAAAAGACAAGATCCTTGCTGCCACAAAAACTAAATTTTCAAAGGGCAGAGACAGATCAACAAATACACAAGATAAATCCTGTGAAGAAAATAAAAGTAACATGATAGAGTGACGAGCAAGTCCTCCACTGGATTGGAGTGGACAGGGAATATCTCTTTGAGGGGTTAGCTAGTAAGCACAGAGCAATGTAAATGATAAAAAAAAAGTCTGAAGGCAGGAAAAGCATGGTTAAGCCCAGGAACAGAAAGGATGGCAGACTCAGTAATGCAAGTAGGAAGACAACTACAGGGATACAGAAGGTGAGCAAGAAAAGAGACTCTAGAGTATACTTATGTTTGTGGTTTCAACAAGATGGAAATCCCTGGAGAAGGAGAATAGTTGTTTTTAGTGTTGGGGGTCAGGGTGGGATTTAAGCATACGCTGGCAGTGTTCAGGTGGATATGCCTATTAAACAGCCAAGTGAGGACACTAAGGAGGCATTAAGGCATGAGTCTGGTGCTCCAGTTTGGGGCTGGAGACACGAATTTGTCAATCACTGCCATCCAAACGTTATCTGATGGCACAAAATGAAGATAAGAGACAAGGGCAATAACTCAGTCTAAGGCAGTCAGTCACTGAGAGGTGTAACAGTGGATGAGGAGGTAGGTCCAGAGAAAACAAAAGCATGTTACTGCAGAACCAAGAGAAAGCTGTGGTGAGAAGCAAAGGATGGTCAACATCAAGGCAGATAAAGATGAGCAAGGGAACACATGATTTAGCAACATGGAGTTCAATGGCCACTAACCATGAGATGGTACATATTCTCACTAATAAGAGAAATGCATAACACATCAATAAAATTATTTCTGTCCTCTCAGACTGGCAAAGAGTATGGAGAGGGTGGGACAGGCTCTCTCAAATGCTATAGATTGAGAGAAGTATAAATTGTGTAAATATAAACTGGCATATTTCTGGAGGGCAACAGTGGTCAAGACACAATATATTTAACCTTTGGAAAGTTCAATTTCTTAGACTTTTTTCCCAAGGAAATAACAAGTGGGAAGGATGCATTGTTGAGGTGTTCAAAACAGAGTTGCTTATAATAGGGCAAAACTGGAAACAACCTAGTTTTCTGTCAGTAGAGGATAAATTATGGCATAGCCAATACATTGAAATACTAGGAAGTCCTTAAGAAAGGATAACGTGAAGCTCCTAGGAACACTACCTGTTCAATTTGCTGCTATTCTCAATGTTAGTACACGGACAGCCACTCAAAAACTAAATGACCAATTATATATACAGTGACATGAAAAGATACACACATTACTTGTGAAGAGAAAAAAAGGTACTTACAAAACAGCATATAAAATACATCCACAATACATAAAAGTGTTACATGCTTGTATCTCTGGGTAACAGTACCCCTGAAGGACACACTTGAAAACCTGATTAACAGCAGTTGCCTCTAGAGAAAGGACACTGGTGATCATATATTAGAGAAAGCCTTTTTCTTCTTTATATGATACTGTTTACAACTGTATCATATAAAGTATACATATAGTGTATAATATATGTGTACATATAGCTTTGGTTTTTAAATGTTTTTTTTTTCTTTTTTAAACTGCATATAATAAATGAATAAAAGGTCTAGAAGGATATATAACAAAATATTAAAATCATTGTCTCGGGAAGAATTTTATGTGAGTGAACGTGTATATGGATTTGGGGGTGAGGTGAGATACAAAACCTTTCACTTTCTCAGTTTATTTTTGATTTCTAAATATAGTCAGGTATTACCTAGAAAAGGACACTACTTCCTTTTCCAATTGAATTATTTTAGAGCACATTAGTACCAAGTACTATCCTGCTGTCAGGTCATTATGAAGATTTAAAAAAAAGCATAAGGTCTCCTCCCAGAAATTCTAGTTAGGAAAGGAGGCAAACTAGGAAATTATCACAAAACAGTGTGCTAAGTTTTAGCAAGTGGGGCATGTGGCCAGTAAGTATATGAAAAGATGCTCAACGAAACTAGTCATTAGAGAAACACAAACAAAATTACAATGAGATATCATTTCACACCCACAATGATACCTATAATCAAAAAGACAGAAAATAGTAAGTACTGGATGTGGGAACACTGGGACCCTCACACACTGCTGATGTGAATGTCAAATGGTGCAGGCACCTGCTTTGGAAAACTGGCAGTTACTCAAAAAGTTTATCAGAGGGTTACCATTAAAGTGCAGCCATTCCACTCCGTGTGTCCACAGAAAAAGCTGTACACAAATCTTCACTATAGCATTATTGATAGTAGCCAAAAAGTGCAATCAACCCAAAAATCTATGAACTAATGAATGGATAAATAAAATGTAGTATATACGTACAACAGACTATCATTTGGCTATAAAACAAAATGAAGTACTGATACATGCTACAACATGGATGTGAGTGTGAGAGCATTATCAAGTGAAAAGCCAGGAACAAAAAGCCACATATTTTATGACTGCACTTAGATGATATGTCAAGAATAGGCAAATTCGTACAGACATAAAGTAGATCAGTGGTTGCCAGGGGCTGGGGGAAAGGAGGAATAGGGAGTGACTGCTAATGGGTATGGGTTTCCTTTTGGGGTGATCAAGATGTTCTGGAATTATTATTTTCAAAATCTTGCCAACATACTAAAAACTACTGAATTGTACACTTTAGGTAATTTTATGGTATGTGATTTATACTTCAATTTTTTTAAAGGAGGGGGCATAAAATAAGAGCCCCAGGAATGCAGAGAAGTAAGAGATTTGTTCTGACTGAGGGAAGCAGGGAAGGGCTCTATATTTGAGTTGAGTGATGACCAGGAGACCCCAAGCATAAAAAAGGGAAAAGAGCAGTTCTACAATATAACCTTATGTACAAAAGCAACATAACTTTATGTATATGTATGAGAAGATAAGGCCAAGTGAGTAACTCATCATGCTGGAGAAACCTGTTCCTACATTACCTGAGGTAAGTACTATGAATTCTCACAAAGCAGCCCAATTTATATGCATGGAGAAAGCATCCAAAAACACTGGGCCAAAAGCCACTGCAAAAACATTAACAGTAATCATTTAGAATCCTCCATTCCCACTTTTCACCAATGCTATCTATTAAACCAAACACCTTCTGAAATTTGCAGCATGAACAAGAGACTATATCAATGTCAAATTTTAAGTTTTGGGAAAGACCCCTGGGTCAACTTGATGCAAGCTAATTCTTCTATCATCTTAATAGTTTGTGGTCATTATTAGGAAACCAAATAGCCAGGAAAGAATGGGGACAAGGGGGAAAAACAAGCAAATGTGTGTAGGCAGGATCACTATAAACTAGCTTTGAAGGAATACAATTATGTTCAACAGATTATTTTCTTAACCCATAGCCCTTGAAACTGATTTGCAAATCAGCACAAAGATTTAGCTATTTAGCTATTGCATACAGAATAACCTATTGCTGAATTCAAGGTTCAATTAATCTCTAACCCAAATCACATTCAGAATTCCCTCACTTCTTTCTCCATGAAGTTCAATATTTATAGCCATTTGCTAACTTTTGCCTTATACCCCATTACGACTCTAAACCAGGGGTCTGGCAAATATCCTCAGCAAAGGGCCAGACAGTAAATATTTTTAGGCTTTGCAAGCTACATAGCTCTCTGTCACATCCTCCTTTTTTAAATAACACTTTAAAAATGCAAAATTCATTCTTACCTCCTGGGCCATACAGCAGGCCACAATCTGATGACCCCTTTTCTAAACAAAACTGGGCACATTAGGAATACTGATCAAAGACATGCAGCTATCTACACACTACATTTCTCAGATAGGTAAAAAATCTTCTGAGGTTATTTGCACATAGGATCAGGAGTAAGACAGATAATCAAAAATATCAATTCTATCCTTACCTAATGATTGGAAGAAAACAGAGTAACGGCATTCATAGAGTGAAAACAGATACTGCCGAACTGCTGGAAGACTGTGTAACACTTCAAGAATCTCTGCTCCTTTAATGACCTAGGTATTTTAAAAAACATATATACAAAATTTAAAAATGTACACTTTAATGATTTTGTGTATTTAAACAAAAAAAAGTCTCTAAATCTGAGTATAAAAGTTTGGTCATTACCTTTTCCCTGAGATCTGGTCTTTCTAAGGCAATCATACTGACATAGACAGTGTAAGTCACAAATGTTTTATAATCCATGAGTTCATAGGATGTAAATGTTGAAACAGTGTCAAGGAAGAGTTCAGCTGCCTGTTTGAAATCACGAATAGCCACACAATAAAGACCCTGATACACTTTTAGGCGGTTTCTCCTGTCCCAGTCTCCTCCTTCTTCTATTAAGCTATGAAATAAAAACAGTAAGATCATAGTCTGGAAACAGACAAAGCCATGTTTTAAAAATTTTTCTGTTATTTGAAATGAGAAAACAACTTTTAACAACTTGAACCAAAAGGAAATATTTAAAATATTTTACTAAATAAGTACATCAATTATTTGACAAAACTTACTGGCTATAAACAAAACAGACAGTTTCTTATATCAACTTCTCATTTGTAGCATCATAATTTAGAGAGAATATAATCCCACTGTTAGAAAGTACCTTTTCGCCTTTTCTGTGTTTCGTGTGATGAGATCATTATCCATATAAAATAAGCCAATCCTAAGGAGATAGAATACAATATCCAATCGGTGACCCAGGGCCACAGTTTTGTCATATGTCTTGCGAAAGGCTGTCAGAGCTCCCTCCTGTCAAGAAAGCCAAGGCAATAGGTGAGAAAAGGCTACAAGTTTCCAAAAAAAAGCTATCAGCTGTCTGGGATTTTCTTCAAAAGTTGGGGGAACAGGTAGGAGTAGCGGTACAGCAAGATGGCCATTAACTGGTAATTGTTGAAGCTGGGTGGTAAGTACACAAGGGTTTATTATTCTACTTTCTCTACCTGTATAAAGCATAAAAAATACATAAGAAATGCCCAAGCATATACTTAGATTCTGGAAAACAATTTAAGAAAAATATAAAATATTCACAATTGTTAAGTATTTTTCTTTGTTCTGTATATTCAATGTTTTCTCTCTTCAATAATCACAATATACTATTTTAAAATAACTTAATCATATCTGAAGGTTTTTGGAAATTGTATCTTAGTCGCTATTAGAATATGACTAAATTTGTAAATATATAATTTTCTCTCAAAGCATTGTGGGATGTTTCCTTTGCTTTAAAGACAAGAATGTGAATAAAATAATTTATTCACACTTGGTAGTTTTCAGTATGTGTCTGCCTGGTTTGTTTTATGTAATTATTAGTTATATTTCATAAATTTATAAGGGACTGGGAAGAGAGCAATAGATACACGTAGCACTCAGATCTTGGTTTTTAAATACTATCCCCCACTAAAAGGAAACAGGGATCCTGGGACAAATGGATAATTCCAGGTTTACTGGAGTGAAAATAACAGGTGAACCTGTGACATTTTGTTTTATCAGAAAATAAGACTAATGAGATATGTCAAAAGGACAAAGTGTCTTGAAAGAGCCTCTACTAACAAATTTGCAACAAACTTAGCACCATAAAGAATAAAGACTCTCATCAGTGGTAACAGTGAATAATAAAAGCCCACTAAGTCCATTAAGTATTTAGTAATACTAAATAAAATAAAATATAAAAAAAGAGAGTAAATAGGAGGGGAAAAGTTCTTTTTGGAAGAATGTTATTTAATAAATACAGAGGAAATATAATATTAGAACATTTTACAACTTCCTGATATTGATTCAAGCATGTCCTTGTTGAAATTCTTCAAAACCTGAATCAAAAGTTTGAAGTTTCTCATTCATATGTAATATATTAGTCTTTAAAACCAAACCACAAACACACAGCTTAAAAGTAAAGGGAAACCACTAGCTAATTCTAAATTTTTATGTATTTTCCAAATTTTTACAATGACCAAGTCTTAAGTTTACAACCAGAAAAGAGAAAAAAACCTCGTTTTAAATATACATTACAGAACATTTAGGCACTTATTATGTGCTAGGTACCAGCCTAAGCTTTTTCCTATCTTTAATCCGCATTAAGTAGAAACTATCAGTACCCCTATTTTACACATGAGGAAACCGAGGGTTTCATAAATCATAATTACCAAGGTTGAAAATAGAACCCAGGCAATCTGATTCAAGAGCTGACACTATTTTTATTTTTTTATATTGGCACCATGTCATTCTACATCTAAATACTTCCAGGCAAATAATTTAAAATTAAGAACATTCAAAGCCCTTTTTCTTAACCACTATTACACAGTTACTCAAATTTCAAAGATCCAGTAATGGTGGGTACCCCTCTGGTGCCCTGATGGTGGAGTAAGCTGGCTGTTATATAGAACAACTGGCCACACATATTAAAAAAAAAAAAAAAAAAAAAGTTCATTATCCCAACAATTGTTTCATATACTATACCCTAGAGAAACACTAGCATATATACACAGAGACCATACATAAGCATGTTTTGACAGCAGCAGTTTGCTAAAGCAAAAACAGATGAAAATAACACACATGTCCAACAACAGCTGAACAGGCAAACAAACTATGCCAGAGCTAGCTCTACTGTGGAACATTTGGCAGCAGTTAACCAGGATGAGCCAGATTTATGTCTGCTCGCATGGAAAGACCTCTTAAATATGGAAAGACCTCTTAATGCTGAATGAAAGGGGCAAACAGGACCGTACACTAGTACACTATGATCCCATGTACAAAAAAAAAAAAAGACAAAAATTTCTGCAGGTATTAATTTTTTTTTTTTTTTTTTTGAGACGCTCTGTCGCCCAGGCTGGAGTGCAGTGGCCGGATCTCAGCTCACTGCAAGCTCCGCCTCCCAGGTTCACGCCATTCTCCTGCCTCAGCCTCCCGAGTAGCTGGGACTACAGGCACCCGCCACCTCGCCCGGCTAGTTTTTTTGTATTTTTAGTAGAGACGGCGTTTCACCATGTTAGCCAGGATGGTCTCGATCTCCTGACCTCGTGATCCGCCCGTCTCGGCCTCCCAAAGTGCTGGGATTACAGGCTTGAGCCACCGCGCCCGGCTAATTTTTTTTAAAATTTGTTCTTTTATTGAGCATTTATATTTTTATATATAGAATTTTACATAAAAAAGATTTTATGGCCGGGTGCAGTGGCTCACGCCTATAATCCCAGCACTTTTGGAGACCAAGGCAGATGCATCACCTGAGGTCAGGGGTTCAGGAGTTCGAGACTAGCCTGGCCAACATGGTGAAACCCGGTCTCTACTAATAATACAAAAAAATTAGCTGGGTGCGGTGGCGCACGCCTCCCTCGGCCTCAGCTACTCGGGAGGCTGAGGGAGAATCGATTGAACCCAGGAGATGGAGGTTTCAGTGAGCCAAAATCACTCCATTGCACTACAGCCTGGGTGGCAAGAGTGAAACTCCGTCTCAAAAAAATATATATTAAAAAGTTTATATAAATGCACAATAAGGTACAGAGTAAAGAAAGATCAACAGAACTTCAGCATTTACTATACCGTTTCTTAGTTTCTGCTAAGGAAAGTATTACTCGTGTAAAGTACTAAAGACACCACACCAGTGCTTCCCAACCAAGTGAGAAAACTGCTGAAAATGATCCCAATTTTGTAAAAGCAGTAAATAAAATTCTCTAGATCTACACTTACGTTTTTATTGGCATGGGGTGAAATGGGGAAGAATACAGCCCTAGCTGCTGTTTAGGGAAACGACAAGGCATTTCATGGAGACTTTTTCATCTTTACATTGATTCACTAGTATAAGTAAGCGTGATTACCTTTATACTTTTTCTAAAACGAAGTTAATTTTTCTAATGAGAAACGATTATCTGGAATAGTCCCAAATTTTAGCCCACACTAACTACAGAGAGGGGAAACCATCTCCACTCACTTTGTCACCTATCCGGCAGAGGTACTCGGCCTTTGCCATCATTGCATCGCGAATTTCGCTCTCTCCTAGATTCTTCTCTGCATCTTCCAGCTCCTCATCCAAACGCTTCAACTCGTCTTCATTTGCCTTCTTCATTTTATTGAGTAGGTCCATGTCTATCTGCCAGTCGAGGGATCTGCACAAGGCTTCATAGTAAGGAGCCATGTCTGACATGCAAAAAGAGGGGTGTGTGAGTGGGGACACTTGTGCCCTCAAGTCAAAGTCGGCCCACGTCTTTCACCCCCCGACCCCCAATAAGTCATCCACCAGTCTCTTCCCCACTAACAGGAAGGCATGGGATGGCGCTTAATAATCGACTTGGCAAAACATGAAACGTAGGCTGGTGGGAGGTTTGCGTGAGGGCCAATCCTGGCACTGCCAACCTCTACTAGGGCTGGAGGGCAATCCTCGGTTTGCTCTTGCCGGATTCTGTTCCAAAAGTCTTCAAACAGGGAAAGACTTTTTATACACACATACACACATATGTTCAAACATTCACATTCACTATAGAAGAGCCAAAAAGAACCGAACCCAAATTTCCTTCCACAGGCAAGCTGAACTCTCCTGCTGGAATACCCCGCGCCCGGGAGCAGTCCCGAATGACAGTAAGTCACGGGGCTTTACTCTGTGCCTAGCACAAAGATAAATATTAATGCCTCACGACTCTCCTCCAAGCTGCCCTTACAGGGGAAGGCCGCACAGAGATGCAAACCGCTCCGAGATAAGGCGAGGTCCCCCAGGGTATCCCCAAACCAAAGCAAAACCCTAAGGACCGGAGAAGCCAGGCCTGGTCTCGGAGATCCCGTCAGAGGGACGCCCCGGGGTCTGGAGCTCCATCAAAAAAAGTCCCCGCAGGCTCCGGAACGCGGGGACGGCCCAGGCCTAGGCCGCTGACTCGGCGCTCGTGCGGGCCTCACTGTTATCGCGGACGGCCGCCATCAGCTCGTCGCGCACGGCAGCGTCTCCGCGGTGCTCGGGCAGGCTGAGCAGGAAGCGCAGCTGCGCGATGCGCAAGTCGGGGTTCTTGGGCAGACCCTCCTCCTCCAGGTTCTCCAGCGGCATCGCGGCGATAGGGACAGCGGCTGACAGGAGACAACTCGGTTCCGACCGGCTACGGCAGCGGAAGCGGGAGGAGTCGGCGAATACGCCCGGCCGCCTCCGGCCCGACTTCCGGCTCCGTCTCCGCCGGCAGCGTCCTCTGCTGGACACCTACGGGAGCGCCTCGCCCGGCCTGGGCGCCTGCGCCCCAGTGTGGTCACCGGGGGCTTTTCCACGCTCAAGGCCCCGGCGGAGTCGCAGAGTGGGTGCGGCCCAACTCAAAAGCCCAATTTCTTGAATCTCTTTCTCACTCCCTTTTTAGCTATTTTACTTTCTGTTTGTAACTGATGGGACCTTAAAATTTTTTGAAAACTGAAAATGTAATAACAGCATCGATAAAAAATCACCATAGTTTGTCGAGTCGTTACTCTTAGGCATCTCATTAAAATCATCATGCTGCGAGGTAGTACTATTAGCCTATTTAGTAGGTAAGACAACTGAGGCACAAAGAGGTTAGGGAAACTGATCAACCAAGGTCATGTAACAGCCGTGTTGCAAGGCCTAAATGAAAACCCCTATCTAGAACTCTAAAATCCACATTCTTTCTGCAGTTTTTAGAAGAAAAAACTGCACCCAGGATTCTGCGTCATAGTACAACAGCATGGTCGTTTTGTTTACATATAAATTAAATCAAATCATTACATGCCTGCATTTTCAGCCTCCTTTTGTTTATATTGCTGTAGATCTTCAGAGTTGGTCATGGTTACATTAAATTCCGTTTTGTTTTGTTTTGTTTTTTTGAAACGGAGTCTTGCTCTGTCACCCAGGCTGGAGTGCAGTGGCACAATCTTGGCTCACTGCAACCTCTGCCTCCCAGCTTCAATCGAGGTGCTGCCTGCCAGCACCACCACGCCTGGCTAATTTTTGTATTTTTAATAGAGACGGGGTTTCACCATGTTGGCCAGGCTGGTCTTGACCTTCTGACCTTAAATGATCCGCCTGCCTCAGCCTCCCAAAGTGCTGGGATTACAGGTGTGAGCCACCCTGCCTGGCCTAAATTCCATCTAATGGATTTACCGTAATTTACTTTCACTCTTCCCTCTCTTAGAGGTTGACCAGAGTTTTTACTTACGTAATATAAAAACTTAGATGAAGACTTTGGATGTCTAGATCACTTCATGTTTGGATCTTTTTCCTTAACATAAATTCCCAAGAAGGAATAATGGACTAAGGAAAGAAGGATTTTGTGACTTGGGGATATTTAATGTTAAATGGTTTTCCAAAAGAGCTGAACCAGTTTACACAGCCGCCGAAACAGGTGAGACTGCCACATCTCAAAGGCAGCAGGCATCATCACATGATTTAAATGTATTATTTGTTTCTATAAAAATGAAACAAGCATTTTGAAGACAACTCAAATGATAGAGAATATATGAAGAGTAAAAAAAATTACTATTAAATAGCTCTCCACCACTGCTAAACTTTTGGTGAAAAACTTTCTAAACATCTTTCATTTAGTCATTCAACAAACATGGTTGCATGGTTACAAAGTACCAGGCACTGTCTTAGGCCTCAAGGACTCAGCAGTGAAGAGCACAAAGCCCTGTCTTTGGAACTTACATTCCAGAGAAGCATAGCTTCTTTAAAACTCACCTGAGTATATTAACATGCTAATTCTATACTCGCACATTTTATTTTATTTATTTATTTATTTTGAGATGGAATCTCCCTCTGTCACTCAGGCTGGAGTGTAGTGGTGTGATCTTGGCTCACTGCAACCTCTGCCTCCTGGGTTCAAGCAATTCTCCTGCCTCAACCTCCCAAGTAGCTGGGACTACAGGCGCCCGCCACCACACCCAGCTAATTTTTACATGTTTAGTAGAGACAGGGTTTCACCATATTGGCCAGGCTGGTCTTGAACTCCTGACTTTGTGATCCGGACGCCTCAGCCTCCCAAAGTGCTGGGATTACAGGCATGAGCCACCGCGCCCAGCCTATACTCGCACATTTTAAACTGTGTTTTGTTCATTCTACCATGTATTGTGGATATCTTGGATGACAATGGATTGACCATATAGGATTCCATTATATTTATTTGTTTGTTTGTTTGTTTGTCATTTTTGAGACAGATCTCACTCCATTACCCAGGCTGGAGTGCAGTGGGGTGATCTCGGCTCACTGCAACCTCTGCCTCCCGGGTTCAAGCGATTCTCCTGCGTTGGCCTCCTTAGTAGCTGGGATTACAACATGTGCCACCAAGCCTGGCTAATTTTTGTATTTTTAGTAGAGATGGGGTTTCACCATGTTGGCCAGGCTAGTCTCAAACTCCTGACCTCAGGAGATCCGCCTGCCTCCGCCTCCCAAAATGCTGAGATTACAGTGTGAGCCACCACACCCAGTCCATTGTATTTATATACCAACTTTTTCCTCATGAATCCTTAACTGCTAACTGATTCGGGTTATTTTTGTTTTTTTCACTCTTATTAATATTACAGTGTCAGTTATCTGTGTGCATATATATTTTCACACTTACATAGTTATTTCTCAATCTAAATCTCCAGATGTGCAATTGCTGAATAAGAGGGCATTAATATTTTATATTTTGATATATTCTGTAAGGATTTTATGAATTATTTTCCACAAATGATAAATCAATTTACATTCCCACTAATAGTGAACAGAGAGCCTGCAGGGGAGAAAAAGTAGTATCTTTTCCTCACCTATTGCAAGGTTCATGGCTGAGGCACCTATAATAAAAGATAGAATAATAGGGCGAGGAGAGGTGTCTCACACCTGTAATCCCAGCATTTTAGGAGGCTGAGGCAGGCGGATCACCAGGTCAGGAATTTGAGACCAGCCTGGCCAGCATGGTGAAACCCCATTAGCCGGGCATGGTGGCGCACACCTGTAATCCCAGTTACTTAGGAGGCTGAGGCAGGAGAATTGCTTGAACCCAGGAGGAGGAGGTTGCAGTGAGCTGAGACTGCACCACTGCACTCCAGCCTGGGTGCAAGTGCAGCGAGACTTTGTCTCAAAAAAACAAATAAATAAAAATAAAATAACAGGAGAAAAGCACACAAATAGATTTAATATAAATTTTAGGTGACATGAAAGCCTTTGGAAATGAAGACCCAAAGAAATGAAGACATCTGTATATTTGTAAAGTAAGTTTGATGAAGAGTGGACAGTTGTGTAGAAGTATGATTGGTCAAAGGGGGTGTGATGTGATGGTAATAAATTAGGCGGACTTAGTAAGGTCTGTTTGTTCAGATTCTTCTCTGTGTCCCCGTATCTTCATATATAAGGGTATTTCTTTCCTTTGGGCATAGGGATAATATCTTTGGAATGAGAGTCTTATGACCTACCTTATAGGAAGTTCAGGGAATTCTTTTATAACTGGCTTCAAGAGAGAAGGGCCCAGAGAAGGTGAGAGTGACCTTCCTGCTTCTACCACTTCCTCAAAGCACAAGGTGTGATATTTTGAGGTTGCGTGTCCCGAACCCCATCAGACCTGTCTCCCACTGTACTTTCATTGACCATTTTAAGCTTTGCTAACAGTCGCTTTTCCTTTGCATTCCTTTTATGATTAGTGAGGTTAATTTTTTTTTTCACATTTTACTGACCAGATATATTTCCTGTTTTATGAACTTCTCGTTTGGCTTTGTCAATTCTCTATGTAATCTTTCCTCACTGACTAGTAATCAATCTTCATATTTTAAGGAAATTAACTGTCAAGTATCACAGCTTCCCCCCTCATTTATTTTTCTACATTTTTAGGGGTTTTTCTTCAACATAAAAACTTACAGTGTTTAAATAGTTAAATGTATCAGCCTGTTTATATTTGTGACAGCTGGATATATGATCCACAACTCATGTTGAAGTTTAGGGGGAAACCTGCAAAAGTAGTCTCGTAGTTTAAAGTGTATGTGACTGGTATGTTCTGGTTTCCAGTTCGTCCTAGTATAGATGCATCATCAAATTAAGGTTGCAATTGCCAGAAGATCTCAGTTGCAGGGGATTCTGCGACTCATCATTATTCCAGGTGCAAATGAGCTTCAAGGCGCACAATGCCCTGCTGTCGGTCCCTCCACTCAGCACAGAGGAGACCAATTTCCGGTCAGATCTGTCGTCTTCTTCTCTTTTTACTATCGTAACCATTAACTGCTGAGGCATCAATCGAACCCTGAACTGTTGCTGTGATTTGATTGCCCAGCGGATCAAAGCAGCTCTTTGCCCCATATTGACAACTCATTATTGAACAGTAAATTGCCCATTCCATCAATCTCTTTGTAGCCATTAACTCAATTTGACTGGATTAACTAGTTTTACAAAGACCCTTCTTATAGATTGAAATCTGAGGTTTTCGTAATCTCAGGGAGGAAAAACAAATATGTATCTTCTTGGTAGATATATATCCTGCCCCATGGAAATTAAAATGTTTAATGGAAACAGGCTATCGTGAGCTAAGGACATAGTTTTCTTTTTTGCTCTGGTTCTAGGGTTTATTTTAAAAATCACTTTTTCCTCATTTTTTAAAATCTGTGTTACAAGCCCTTTGCTATTAGAACCTGGTTTTATTTTGAGATCTCACCAAGCAGGGCCCTCCTCCTTTTCAGCCTTTGTACTTTTCCTTTATGTGAGATTATATGGCTCTGAAAAGGCTGCTCTGATTTAGGGCACTGGATTCCTTCATTGTGAGCAGAGCGTCATCAGCTCTCTGTACAAGCCCCACGGGCTGTTGATTGTGATGACTACCATGCCCACTGCATAAAAAAAGTGTTCCTCTGAGTGTATAATTAACTTTATCTGCTTTGCTCACTTTTAATTACATGCACTTTCAGCTTTTTCATTGAATTTCAAATACTTTATGTGCCCGGCCCTGATTATAGCTTCCCTGTATATGTCCAAGATGGGTTTGTGCAGGCAGAGTTATCTCTGCTCCTGCCAGCATCCTTCCTGTTAGGCAGTTATTGATCACACCACACTGGATGGAAACTTTCCATAGAGCATCTGCTTGGAACGCACAGAAATTTCAGGGTGATTGTAGCATAATGATCAATTGATGTAGCACGCTCATTTCTTCCTCACTAAATTACTCCTTTCC